TGGAGGCAATATTCTCTATGGTACAATTACAGTATTTCATGGGAGGTAGCCCCGCTGCTGGCTTTGTTCCACTCTGCATTTGCCTTCATGGTTGTATAGCTGTAAACTCATCTTCTGACTTGATTCACCCTGCACCTAACAACACACAACACAGGAAAAGCAAGTAGGACTAGAATCAAGACCACTTCTTCTTGGAAAAAAGCCCACAATGTTACACCAGCTTATCTATAATGCCAAATTGCCTTTCAGGTGTTATGCAAGACGACCATTTGGAATATTTGGAATATTCACTGAACTACAGCCACAGATGAGGTAGTTGATAGATACAAGAAGATACTCTACAGAAATCAGCAAGCCTCTTCAACAATACTACCAATATGGGCCTTACAAACTTGCACATCTGCATATCCATGGAAGCTTCCTTCAGATTAAAAGGAAAAACAAAACAAAAAACCCAAACAAAGAAGCAAAACCCTCATACAACAAAAGTGAGTTTCTCACACATCCTTCCAGTAAATCACTGTTGACATTGACCCACGTAAAATGTTCTGGGGGATGAATTGATGAAGAGCAGCCTTGCCGAGGACTTGAGGATTGTCTTGGATGAGATGCTGGACCCAACAAGGTGGACTGGCAGCCCAGAAAACCAAACATGTCCTGGGGCTGCATCCAAAAATACATGGCCAGCAAGCTGTGGGAGGGGATTCTGCCCCTCTGCTCCTGTGAGACCCCACTTGCAGGGCTGCATCCAGCTCTGGGCTCCCAGCAAAGGAAGGACATGGAGCTGCTGGAGGGAGCCCAGAGGAGGCCGCCACAACGATGAGAGGGATGGCACACCTCAGGCTGAGAGAGCTGAGATTGTTCAGCCTGGAGAAGAGAAGGCTTAGGGTGACCCAGTTGCAGCCTTCCAGTACCTGAAGGGAGCCTACAAGAAAAATGAAGAGGGACTTCTTACAAGGGTATGTAGAGACAGGCCAAGGGGGAATGGCTTCAAACTGAAAGACAGCAGGGTAGATTAGATAGTAAGAAATTCTTTACTGTGAGGGACTGGAACAGGTTGGCCAGAGAAGCTGTGAATGCCCCATCCCTGGGAACATTCAAGGCCAGGTTTGATAGGGCTCTGAGCAAACTAATATAGTGCATGGCATCCCTGCCCATGGCAGGGTGGTTGGAATGAAATGATCTTTATGTTCCCTTCCAACCCAAGTCACTTTGTGATTCCCATTTTTTTTCCTTTGTTATCAACTACACAGGATTAGATTTTGTTAAGAGGGTGTGGGTGTGTGTTTGGGAATTTTTTTGGTTTGGTTTGGGATTTATTCAATTCCTATAAACATGTGCAAGGCATTCAGAAAAAAATCTTCATATTAAGTCCAATTAAGAATCATGTTGACACACTGTCCTGCTAAGACTTCAAAGGAAACACATTACCACACTAAATAGGGTAGTTCTCACACCACAAAGTTACTGCTAAAGTATAAACAGCAACCTCAACTTATTTGGAATGAAATAACCGTTTATGAGGGCTCATATGACAATAGCAGAGGGTTTGGCATTAGTTTTTTGTTAGTTTACATTTTTCAAGTTTCCGCTTTAACTTCCGACAAAGGCATTCAAATACTGAGCTTAGTCCAGCCTGGCTTGCTACCAAGTTGGACAAAAGTAATTTAAGTTAAACAAATGCAAGCAGCCTTTTAGAGAAGGCCTGGCAAAGTCAACAAAATTAATCTAAATATTGATACAGAAAGGCAGTTCTTAGACCATGATTTTCAGGAAGGAACATATTTCCTTATCTGCAGCACTGCATCATCACATACACAGGACTCAGACAGCACAAGCCATCTTCCAGTCTCAGAGAACTGGAATTTTAAAGAGTTTGGTTTTACAAAAAATAAATCCTTTACTGATTTAAGATTTTGCCAAGTAGTGCAGTGATCTCTGGAATTAAAAGCTGATGACTGAAGGTTAAAAATATCAACAGGTCTGCACACACAAGAGTAAGAATTTAATTAACTGTACCTTTACAGTTTTATCCATAAAATTCTACTGCTGGAATTCTGTTTTGCAGCAGATTACTTTATTCCAGTAATGTACAGGCACAAGATCAAAATGCTAACAGCAGCTTGAAACACCACTGAGGAGGAAAAAAAAAAAAACAACAACTTTGCCAGAAAGTAAGGCAGGTACAGGTTAGTTTCCCCTGATGGTCACTGCTGGTTGCACACTGCAGCCTGTGTGTGACAAAAAGCAGAGCTGTGCCAGCCAGAGCCTGTGGGTAACCCTCCCCAGCAGATCACTGCTGCTCCACAGGGGATGTTAAACCCACCACAGGCTTCCTGATCCCCCCCAGTCAAAATAACTCAGGTTAGCAAAGGTTACTATTAAAAGTACTTAAGCCAGGACAGCTGCTGAAGCAGGACAGACACACAGACCCTGTACCAGCTGCAGCACCTGCTAGCTGAGAGCCGCACTTCATCCACAGCCAGAACAAACATGCACAAGTTAAGATGTGACACTGTTCTAGTCCTTACATACAGCTGAATTCATTATTTAAGCTTGAGGTACTGCTTTTTTTTCAGGTTTTTTTGATTCAAGCATTAGACACAAATTACTTTCTTCATGGAGACTGCTTTACTTCACCCCAAGGAAACTCCAGCAAATTCACTGGCTGCACAAACTTTAACTACATAATATAATAAGCACACAACAAATTAAAGCAAAAATTGAGTATAAGCATAAGGAACAAAGTAATCTTACTGTTGTAAATATGAGATTTCACATTATGGATCAAAGTCACTTTTACTGGACTACCACATTAGCTATAAGCATTCTGTAGCTGTATTTCACAGGTGAGCATGCTACAACATCAGTGGGGTTTTGTTTGGTTTTGGTTACCTGCACACCTGTCTGCTCCCCCTGACCTTTAATAACAATACAGTCGTGAAATAATTAATGCTGAAAGGTACTTCTGGAGGTCATGTGGTTCAACCCCTTTTTCTCCAAAACAATGTCAGCTTCAGAGTTACACATGTTGCTTAAGGCTTTTTCATCACAGGCTAAGAACCTTAAACTGAAAAATTAAGGCAGGCTTTAAAAAAGCACCAAAACCATGAAAACCCCAAACAAAAAACCCTCCTATCCCACAATCTAACCTGGGATGTAACTATTCTTAAAGATATCAGAACTCCTATGAAACTTGTTTCTATGTTTCACAAGAAAATACAACCAGTAAGAAAACCAGAAATATTAATAATTGAGGAGAAGAGTTAAAGCTAGCTAATTTATCTACTGTGAGCTTCTTTCTGTAATAAGCATCTTGATTTGTTGCAGAATGCAGCAGACTTTGCAAGTGGTGCCCGACCGTTCAGAGCAGTGCACAGGAAGCACAGAAGCAGCTGAGGACTGCACACTCCTCTGGGTGACCTCAGTTACCTTCCTTGTATTATCACACACGTGCACACATACAGCTGACCAGCATCACATGAAAATACTTAGCCCTGTGATAAGAGAGCTTCAGCAATATCTCTGGAGAAAGAGCTACAGAGAGAAGCAGGCAAACATTTCACAGACCTTAAGACTTCACTCAACTGTACAAGTAAAGTTGTACAGCAAGGAGCAAGCCATGGGCTAAATGCTCTGTTGGACATCTCATGTCACAGTTGCCAACCATGGACTAAAGGGGGTGGGGAAAATATCCATGGAATTATCTTCAGAAAAATAACTTACAGAAAAAGCCATCAAGAATTAGAGTCAACAGATTAACACTGTCCGAACTGGCACAGAAATTGTGCCAGTGATCAGATGCTTTTCCCACTGATCAGATACTTTTACTTATATAATGCTGATTCCAAAACCAGGAAGCTGTCATACAGAACACCACTTGAATTTTTTTCCCCATCTTATTTTTCCATGACAAGTGTGGATGCAGCTTTTCGTGCTACACCACTTTCTCAAGTCCGCTCTGCTGACAGCAGTAGCTTCAAATCAGAGATTTCACATTAGAATGAATGCCTAACTTGGCTTTTCAAGAATCATGTCCACACACTCGTTTTTCAGTGAAAACACTATCAAGACTTTACTTCCCTTTTCTCTTGCATAAGTTCACCTGCACAACACACGGCATTTCCTCTATTCCCTCCACAACCGGCAAATGTAAGCGCATCCTGGGGAATGCGGCCGTGCTTCTTACACTTAAAGCGATGCATAGCAACAAAGAAAAAATAAAGACTCCACAAAGTCCGCAGCTTCGAAGAAATACTCTACCCAGCGATAAGAAGGAACAGAGACAGGATCATCTGACCCAGTAAAAATAATACCGGGTGTTTTCTAGGACGTACTACCCTAACCCAAACAAACCCAGAGAGCCGCCAGGGATATACCAGAGAGGCGAACCGGCGGGGTGATGCCGACGGCAGGCAGAGAGTGCCTGGGGGCTTCGGGGAAGCTCATGGTCACCCCCCGGGAATGCTGAAGCGCAGGGCTCGGGAGAGGGAAAGGGAGAGGCGGCGAGGCCAGTCTATAGCGCAACGCCGGGACCTTCCATCCCCAGCCCTCCCCGCCGCCCCGGCTCGCAGCCCTCGCATCTCCCCTGCCCGCCGGTTCACGGAGCCAGCGCCGTGCCCGCCCCCGCCGCACAAAATGGCTGCGCGGGGCCAGGGCCCAGCATGAGGGGGCATCGCCCATCGCCCGCCGCCGCCTCCCCCCCGGCTCCTCTGCCCGGCTCCCGCGGGAAGCGGCGGGCGGCGCCGCCCGGATGCGGGGCGGCGGGACACGCAAGCGGTTCCTGTAGGTGAAAGGTCGGGGGGCGCGGGGCCGCCCGGGGCCGGGCCGGGCCCCGGGGCGGGGCGGGCGCGCTCGGCTGCACGTTCCGCAGTGGTGGCGGCGGGAGCCGCGCGGGCCCGCACCGTTACAGCGCGGCCGCCCCCGCTCCCCGTGCTCCCGCCGCCGGGCCGCGCCCGCTGCGGGGGGCGCCTCTCGGCTGCCGGGGGTCTCTCTCTCACCTGGCGGGCCCGGTGGCCGGTCCGGCGGGTCTCTTTGGCTGCGGTGCGGCTCCGGCTCCCGGGGGTCAGAGTTCGCGACCCCGCCTCCGCCGCCGCTCGACCCCGCCCCGCCGCGGGCTCTGCGCCTGCGCCCGGGCGCGCGGCGGTGAGGGCGGGGCCCTGGGCAGCGGCCGCTAACGGGACCGGGCCGGGCCTGGGCGCTGCCCCCGCCGGGCCCGCAGCACTGCGGGCAGGGCCCTGGGAGCACACATCGCGGTGCGAACAGACCTTTAGGATCGCCCCAGCCGTCCAGCCAGCACTGCTGCCACTGTAACACCTAAACCACACCAGCCACCGCCGGATCCTGGCGCCTCTTAAAACACCTGCAGGCATAGTGACTCCGACGTCCCTGGGCAGCCTATCCCAGTGCCCAGCGATCATCCTAATGGAAAAAAGATTTATTTTTTTTCTAATCTGGAAATCTCTGCTGGGACCCCTTAAAGACACTTCTTTAGTTCTCTCATTGCAGGCACGGTAGAAGAGAGCAGTCGCTCACCTCACTATACCCTTCTTACAGGTAGTTGTGAGAGAGCCATGAGGGCCCCCCTCAGCCTCCTCTTCTCGAGACTAAACAAACCCAGCTCCCTCAAGCCTTCCTCATGAAGCATGTTTTAAACACCCTTCACAAACCTTGTTGACCACCTCTGGATGCTCCTTTTTAGAGTGAAGGGTCCAAAACTGAAGACTGTTCTCGTGTTCTGCCCATCAAGTGGAGAGCACAAGTCTCCACACCCCCACTGCTGTTCCCTGCAGAGAAATGGGACCAAGCAGCATTGAACATCACAGGTGCACAGCGCAGCATTTGGGCTTTGGGGAGCTTGGTGGGCTCTCCTGGCTGAGGCAGAGCCATGGGCAACACTGGCAGATTGGGTTTGAAATATGCAGCATGGTGGAGGCACACACAGTGCCTTGCACAGTCACTGTAGCAGTTCAACCAGCTGAGTCTGAAAGAGCTGAGCTCTGCCTGCATGGCAGAATCAAGTTCCATCTTTACATGTCAACATTGCCCTGGACAGCTCTTGGGAAGGCAATGGCCTGGCTGCCAATGAGTGCCTGTTCCTGCCGGGGCAGTGCCACAGGAACAACTTGTTGCTGCTCTGGCTTGGTCTCAACATCTGTTTGGACCAAAGTTGAGTTAGCTACTTACTTAGTTTATACTAATTATTTTAAATTACCTTGATTTTGAGTAAGAGTTTTATACTTAAAATACAGCCTTTCCCTTCTTACTCTTTCATCTGTTCAATGAAGATGGTCAAGCTGTGGTCAGAGATCAGCAGCAACTTCAAGATCATTTAGTTCACAGCAGGGCTGTACGTGCAATTTCATGATCTGAAAATCATTGAGACTATTTAGTGTAATTTCTACTGAATCAAATGACATAAGCATCAACATCTAAGCAGCAGTGGTAGGAAAAAAAAAAACCAAAGAATACAAGCAAATTTATGTGTTATCATTAATAAAATTATGCACGCTCTTATCTTGTCAATTCCTTTACTCTTTTCTTCCTGCTCCCAGTCCCTGGATACAAGTTGCACTTCTATCTATCAACCCTAGCTTGAGATCGCTAGTTCAGTATTTGCAAGCAGAGTATTTTGCTTTTTGATCAAACACCAAATGCAAATGAACTCAGTGAAGAATTTTTAAGTCAGAAAAATTAACTTGCTAAGCAATTCTTTTAAGTGTCAAATGTTGCAGCACTCTCAATTTACAGTGCTTGTCACTTCCCAAACTAGCTTGAGCTGCACATCCACTTTCTAAATGATGGAGCTTAGCACAGTTTAATTTAACAAATGCCAAGCAATTTGCACCAAATCTTATTTAAGCCAAGTATTCTGATATCCTCAGTACAGCAGAAATGTCAGTGTAACCCGTAAAACATACTTTGGTTTTTTTTTAGCAAGTGACCCAATTAATACTTGATCTGTATACGAAGGCACGCCTCTGTAGCAGTGTCAGCCAGGATTGCAAGAGATACATCCCTATCAACAACACACAGAAAAGCAAAACCTTTTCTGCTATTACTGCAAGTTTTCAAAAACCTGCTTTCAAACATATATAAGGAAGCAGCATAACTAACCTGACAGAAAAATCTCTCCCTTACATGCCCTGCTAAATAACGTATAGAATTAAAGAATGATTTAGGTTGAAAAAGACCTCTAAAACAATCATTGAGTCCAACTTCTAGCCCAGCAACTGCTAAGTCCACCACTTAAACCATGTCCCAAAGTGCCACCTCTGCACACCTTTTAAATACCTCCAGGGATGGTGAGTCCACTTCCCAGGGCAGTCTGTGCCAGCGCTTGGCAACCCTTGGGATGAAGAGTTTTTCCTTGTATCTAATCTAAACCTCCCCTTTTGCAACTTGGAGCCATTTCCTCTTGTTCTGTTCCTTGTTATTTGACAGAAGCTGAGCACGTGGCTACAACCTCCTTTCAGGTGCTTGAAGAGATCAGTAGGGTCTCCCTGAGCCCCCTTTTCCCCAGACCAAACACCCCCAGCTCCCTCAGCCACTCCCCATCAGACTTGTGCTCCAGACCCTTCCCCAGCTCCACTGCCCTTCTCTGGACTGGCTCCAGCAGCTCAGAGTGTTTCTTGCAGTGAGGGGCCCAGAACTGAACGTGGTGCTTACAGCATGGCCTCACCAGTGCCAGTACACGGGGACAGTCACTGTCCTGGTCCTGCTGGCCACAGCACTGCTGATCCAGGCCAGGATGCCTTTGGCCTCCTTGGCACAGCTGGCTCCATTTCACTGCTGTTGACCAGCACCCCCAGCTCCTTTTCCAGACACTCTGCCTGCCCCAAGCCTGCTGGGGTTGTTCTGACCCACGTGCAGGACCCAAGGCCAATAGAAGCTGGGATTCAGGCATACTTTGACTGACACAGCAGAACTACATTTTGCAAAAGGATTTATTAATGTAACACCCTTCATATGACCTTCACATAGACTTAACCCCCTTAATTCTTTGGAATGATTTTTAAAGTAAGACTGATGTGCAGGTAATGGCAACAAATTCTGCTGTTTGAAAATCATTGAACACACAAATTACATAATACATAAAACCTGAAAATATTAAAAGACGCAGACTCAAATAATGTGAATTTATTTATACAAAAATGATGAATATCCACAGAAATATTTACAACTTTAAACTGTTTTCAGTTACAAAATAAAAATTCTATTCTTCCATTTAGACAGTATGATTTAGGACTGCTCCAAATAAAATCCTATTTGGATGGCAAATAGGGGACAGCAGTTACAGCAAACAAATGCACTGAATCTGTCTTTCCAGACATCTCTTTATGTTATGATGTAATAAACATGGTTGAGTAATTGAGTTTCCATGCACAAAATATTTAGTAAAATGTGTTCCACAGCTGCTCAGATTGTTTTAAGTCCTTTGGGCACACAGTTTTAAGTTAAAGAGAATTCAAGATCCTAGAAGCTTTAATTTATCTATGAACAAAAATGTTAGAACTAATATTCAATGCTAATGTTTGTCTCATACTCTACTAACCAATCTTAAATTGATTACAAACTATAGATTCCTATAAGAAGAGGTAGCAGGTGTCAAAAAACTTCTGATCTTGTTTTAGTGTTTAGCCAAATCAAGACGTGAATATTTTACTTTTGATGGTAATGCATCAAATTGGGAGGTGAACTGGAGAAATAGGGTGAGTTTGAAAAGCAACCATCTGAAAATGTTATGAAAATGCTTGTGTTGTGGGTTCTTCATATGACACAAAGCACTACTGCAGGAGTGAGGAAAAGAAATATTCAAACACATTTATAAAGACAATTTATTTCACACAGAATGTGACTGCAATATGTATACTACTGTTTATAAGGCTCTGTCCCAATCTATTCATGTCACAAATTTTTTGATTGATCAACCACTTCTGGAAGAAGTCCTCTGATTTCCACAGAACACTAAACTATTTTCTCCCTCTGCACCAAATCCTCTAGAGGTAGTTTGACACCACATGAAGCAGAACTTGGGCACCTTACTCAATGTATTTTGACTTTTATTGCTCTGTTTTGCAGCAGGGAAAATATCAAAGCATAAACTGAAATTAAATTAGCTTGCTCCTAGCCAAATTCCTGATTCATTTGCTGCTTCATGACTTGCCATCTTCGTCGGTGTGCAGTCCTTGTGAAAATATGAAGAAGCTCTTCCCTTTGATACTATAAACTGGAAGAGATACATCCTATCTATGTTATATTGATACCAGTTTGGTTTTGGATACACTAAAAATCATGTCAGAAATCACCCTGAAGAGACATGGTAATAATTTACTTAGCTTCAGTCAGCAGTTGTTTTTGAAAATTAAGTAAAAGCCCTTAGTATATAACAAGAGAAAAGTATTCATTTAGCACATTTGTGTTACAATAAAAGAGGATAAAGGCTTTGATCAGACTCCTACTGCATTTCCAACACTATCTGGACACATCTCTGGCGTTCCTGACGGAGGTCAAATCTACAGCCTTAAGTCCCTGATTCATAAGGTACTCTACTGAAATGCTGGAAGTCAGTGAAATTTCTTGTATAGTTAATATTAAGAATTTAACTTCCAAGCCCACTACTAACTTTGGAGAAGCTCTTGGAAATTAAGCTTCTTCAGAGCTCTGTTAGTATCTTGGACCTGACCTTGAGGTATATTGAGGGAATAAGTGTTGCGGTGCGATGTAATAGCCTGTTTCAGCTATCCCAGTTCCTTCCCCAGGTGTGCCAACAACCTCTCCCTTCCCCTCCCTTGCCCCCTGCTGACTGCTGTCTGTCAGTCCTGGCATTCCAGAAGGGCTCGAGTGATTGGCAGAGTTCCAGAGGTGCCTCTCAGCCCTGGGGACACTGGGCCATCCCGGTGTCATTTGTCCCCTGAGGCTCCCCCCTTGCCTGGTCGGTGGGATCCCTGCCCCTTCCCTCCCCCTCTCCCCGGGGTTCAGGGACACAGCAGCCACGCGGTTCATGGTTCTGTGGGAGCTGCTGCTGCCTTCAGAGGCCTGTGGGCCAGGAATAAAGCTCTGGATCGAAACCCTCCCGCAGAACCCGACTCCTTTCCTTCACCTCACCTAAAGCCTCTCCACCAGAGGCAAACCTGAGCTCCTGCGTGCCTGGACTTGTCCCCAGCGCCAGCTGCAGCATCCAGCCAGCCAAAGGTGTCTCTGAGGAGAAACCACCACAGCTGCTGCCCTTGGTCAAGCAGCAAGGCCAGACGAGCCCAGGCACGTTCCATCCGGCTATATTGGGATTTAATTCCAATAAATAAGAGAATTTTGGTTTGCATTTTCATTCTTGGCCTTTCTGTGATGAGTATTAACTATTCTACCATCTCTTTCCTTTCTGCTGTGAGGCCACAGAATAGCTATTAACATGGAATTCAAACTATTAATTAAAAGTTAATTGCTTTTAATTTTGTTACCACAACTAGCTTGATTCAGGGGACTATAACAAGTGTTTCATACAGTAAAATTAACTGACTACATATGCATTACATTTGACATAAAAATGGCTTTCTTTCATGTGGGTTTCATAGTTTTAGTTCCATTTATGCTATTACAGTGTTAACATATTTAGAAGTTAAATAGACTAAATGCACCAGAATCATCAGTAAGTATTTCCTAATGAGGTATACCGATGATTTTCTTTAAGAAAAAAACCCTGAAACCCAAACACCCAAAGTTGAATTCTGTTTTAAAGTGTCAAACAGAACAAATCATATTGTAAACAAAAGGTATTTCAAAATATGGTATGCATTTTCAATGCCTTCTGCACTAGAAAAGCTCTGTTATCTTCGCAATTCCAGTTTAAACATAATATTTAAATATACAATAGTTTTAAGATTTTCAGAGAGGAGGGTGCACATATTTACTGTTCTTTGAACAATAGTTTATACAATACAGTGTTTCATATTGTGTACAGAACTCATTTGACATGAAGTTTTGAAACAAATAAGATATCTTGTCTTTGATTATCAAAAATGTATTTTTACTCTGAATAATTACTGGAAACATAAAAAGATAATTCATCTTGCAATTGCTGGAAGATAACTCATTTAGTCTCTTTGGCATCTGTAGTACTGTAACAGCTCTAGTGCCTTATCCCTGTAATTGCAAACTGTTTTTTAAAATATTTTTCCCTTTTCTGTTTTTTAATAATTGAACCATATTTTGGTTTTGAGACACAGAATTTGTTGTACTGTTTTAATGTACTGGTATGCAAGATTTCAACTGCCATTCAAGGAAAGGAGCATCAAAATCAGACAACGTCTCAAAAAGGAGCTTACATAGTCCACAAAGATCCCAAATCTGTGAAATTCCTATACCAATCTGTTTTTGCTAAATTGCAAAGTGAACATCAGCAACTCAAGAACCTATACACAAATCACAAGGAAATGCACAACTGCAACAAATCTGGTTTGTGGGTTTGTTCTGTTTTTTTAATAAAGCATAAAGTTTATAACCTGTTGACCAACAATCTGCCACTCTGAGGACACTTTGGACTTCAATGCACAAATAATTCTGCCCATTTAAGTAAACACTGGAATTTAATAAATAACACATTTTGTATCAACACAGAAATACATACAATTCTTTAGAAAAATATTATTTTACACTAAAAATGCAACAACTCCTAATCCTGACAAATATACAATTTTATATAGGTTGTGATGGCAGGATTCTGTTTCTTTGAACAGTTGCTGTGGTCTGTTTTATCACCATCCTTAGATATTTTCCTTAAAACTTGCAGACACAATGATGACACTGCTATAATACAGTGCCCTCTTGAAAAGCTTCTATCCACCTGTTAGAAAATGAAACACTGTTAGGAAGTAGCTGATAAAAGAATAAATCTCAGTGTTGTCACTAGCTTCAGATTCATACAAGAAGGAACATCATACATCCAGCTGGTCTGTGAGTGCAAATACCAAAATCTATCCAGTGAGTCCAGCCATACAGAACTGCTTGGTACAAGGCCATCCCATAGAAGCTTTTTTCTGTGCCTCTCCAATACTGAAGTTACATGAACAAAGAACTGGTGAAGCTGGGAAATCAAATGCTCTAAAAGTAGGCTATGCCTAGGTTCTGCACACCTTTAAAAACCCCCAATACTCCCTTCTCTTTTTCCCTGCAAACATGATCTGGGAGGAATGAGGACACTGCTGTACCTGAGGCAGCATGTGCATAACCCAGGCTCTGCTTCTGCAGCAGGTAAAAGCCAAGGACTGGTGGGGCTGAGGGAGGAGGTCACAGGGCACCTGGAAAGGCAGGGAAGGGCATAGAGGGCACTGGGGGAAGTCCCAAACAGCTGATCCAAGGTTTCTCAAACTGGAAATTCAAAGTTAATATTCAGACACTTTTACTCCCTATAGCTGTGCTTTCTTTCCTACTTGGTTAGGAGGGTAATAAACATCCTCAGCTTCTCAAGAATGCAAAAATTAATGTTCCTGAATCACTCCAATGCTACAGAACAAATAATTCTGTTTTCCAAGTGAGGGCTGAACTGTGTGTATGTAAAGGTAAGAGGCCCACATATTGAGCATTTTTTTCCTGAGTAGAGATCTTGGAAGAACTGAATGAAACGAAGATTGTAATTATCTTTATCATGGAAATTCAAACTGTCTTGGTATTCACAGGGTATCTAAACATTAGTCACAGATGCTGGCTCTTCCTTGCCCTGAGCATTCAATTTTGTAGCTGTGTGCATGTTCTTTGAATTCAAGCTTTTGGCATGAACATATTAATCATGACATGCTCACGCATGTCTGCACACACAGCTCAAAAATCTACCTTATTTTTAGTAATATTTTTAGTATTTTCTACTGCCATGTATACATTAAAAACAACTAAAGTAGAATTCAAATGCAAAAAAAAATCATAAACAGCTTAAGCATTGAACACAGCACTGGAATTTAAAACCACATTGAGAAGTAACCATCTGTTAAAATTTATTATTGCACTGAGACAAACAGATCAGGTATTTCTTTGGTCCTACCAGGAGAAAATAGTGTCTGCTAATGCAAACAGGCCAACAGCATGTTTTTGGTTTTCCTTTTAAGGCTGTAAAAGCAGCATTTATTCTGAAGGTTCAGCATAAATCTCCTAAGGATATTAAATACTTGGAGAAAGCTTGAAATTCCAAGTACTTAATGTTATTCCTAACCTCAGTAAAATACACTATGTCCAATTTCAAGCTTTCTTCTGATGAGAAAAGCCATTGTCTGAGTAGAAAAATAAACCTATTGAATGCCTGGGGGTTTTTTAGTTTGTTTTATATAGTACAAATGAGGACACAGGAGAAACAAAAGGATAGTATCTTAATTAACAAAAAAACACTTATGCACATCTGCACAAAATACTCCCAAAAATCAAATAAAGACTTCCAGATTTTCTTCTGTAGAGAAATGTCATTAAGCACGTTCTCAGCTGTTCAAAATTTCCTGTTGTATTGGATACTTTGTTTTTAGAATGTTCCTATTTGCAGAAAACTAAACCTGCATCCATTTGAATGTTTAAGTACTAATAATGGACTTGTAAATGCATCAAATCTATTTAATAATGTAAAGTTCATTTGGGGAAATGGCAATGAAGCCAGTCAGATAAGAGAGGCGTGTAAGAGAGCTTTACATGTATTCCTTCTATGCTCATTTCTAGTTTACTTTATGGACCATGTGATGAATGTTTTCTACTGATTAATGACCAGGCTTCCAGGTTATTTTACATGAAACCAACACAATTCATAGCTTGATAAATATGACTCCAAGTCCAGACAGGACTTGAAACAGCTTGTGTGAATGCTCTTTGAATGCAAGCTTTAGGTCTGAGTGCATGCCTAAGTGCTCATGGGCATCAGCTCACACACTTCAAACCTTGGCCCCCAAATTTTAGTGTTTGCTTTATTTTCACTGCCATATATTGAATAACTAATATGAACAGGTGAAATTAAAAAAGGTGCATATCAGTTAATTCTTAAAAATATTTTCTGGATTTATCCAAAGGTAACATTCAATTTTCACTTCAGTAGACCAGGATGAGAGAGAAATGGGTGAGGAAAAAGAAAGATTTCTTATTTTATCTTTGACTTTCTCATTCTACACTCAGTCTTTTGCAGAAAAGAGTCTGCTTCCTTCATTTCAGAAGCCCTAATGAAACCAGAACCTTATGTTTAAATAATTTAAAACTTTCATTTACTTATGATATAATATGGATCTTTTATACATATGCTAAATGTGTGAATATTAACATTCACCACTTCTGAATTTTCTAGAAATATGTAACAGAAATGAATTCAAATAGTTTCTTACTTTTGAGCTGAATGGGGATCATCTGCCTTGAATATGTAAAATAAAGTGTTTTTGTGCAGTAAATGGAACACTCTGGACTCTGAGTTTTCACCTTTTACTTCACTGACTGTGAATCCAAGTAAAGGCTGGCTCTCTAATGCTGCCACATCCTATGTAACAGGGAAAAAAGGGAAAAAATACAAAATTAGAGCTTGTAAGACATACTAAGGCATGCATTTAGACTTCACACACCATACCACTGCAGCAGACAATACAACAAATTGTTATAAACATACACATACAGAATTCTGCTCTTTATATTCTCCAGGCATGAGTCAGGGGACAGGAAGTAAAACCTCACAGACTTCAACATTGCTGATCCTCTTTTCATTTCCCTGATAGCATCTACCTTGGCTTTCACTGCATGGTCCCATCATTCTGCCTGGCAAGGACTTCTTGTACCAACAGACCAGAGGCCCATCAAGCCCAGTGCTCTCTGCAGCAAGCTCAGAAGTGAAGTGGGATGCTATTAACTGCACTCAGTATGCTAAAAGGAGGAGCAACCTGTGCTCCCAAGCACTGAAGTCAAGATCCAAATCTTTAAATGGCTAAACTTATTTCACTTTCTTTTGCTGGAAATTAACAGAATAGGGGAAAACAAGTTGCTGAGTGTTCACTAATAGTCGACTCGAAAAGACCCTTCCTCATTTACCTCAGTTACCTGTTTTTTTTTTAATACTCTTGGCTTTTTATTAATGGATACAATACACAGCATTCTTGGAAAGGAAAAAAGGACTATTTTTATCCTGTGCAAGTTCCAAGCAGTGGAAGGCATTGCAGGCAACGTCCTGCAATGCTCATGAACAGAAGAAAAAAAAATAGCTAACTCCCCCAAATTTACATAAACACTGACACATCAGGTGAAGACTTTGGTTATTGCCTCTACAGTGAAACAAAAGTGTCCTGTGACAGCAGCATTTCTTGATATTGGAAAAGAGTCATGTAAGGCTGAGTAATCTGTTTTACTGTCGCAGGTCTTCGTACCACTAAGAGGTTATTTCTTTACCATTGATCTTTCTGTCACTTGGAACCAATATAAGTAGCTTAAGTGGCCAAGGCAACACTGCACCTTCCCTTTAGACTCTCTAAATAATGTCTTCTGCAATGGCTCACCAAGATGAAAACTAAGAATGGATATTCCTCAGTTTAAGAAAATAGGAAAGAGTTAATTTTGTGATTGTGAACTGCAAACTGAAGCTACTCTGTAAAGTTGACATCTCAGAGGAACAAAGCAAAAGAAAATTTAAGGTGACTCACAGACTTTGCTCTTTTTTTACCTCTCTAGTTTCCTTTGCAAAGGCCAGAAGAAACACAATGCTCTGAAATAATTTTGTAATTGATGTAAAACTAATTGTTTTCTACATACTTCTTTAAACTGTTTTTAGAACTACTTGGGTTGGGTTTTATTTTTAGTATTGCCAGTGCTGTAGTGGAAACAACATCACAGGTTTTAGACATAATTCCAAGTTCTAAAATAAAGGTTGGCAGGAACAACCCAGGAAAAAAATCTGAGCACAAACAAGGAAATAACTAGAGTGGGAGTGGTGTGCAGTGAAGAAGGATAATTCTTTACATGGCCAGGATAGATTGGGCCTTACAATTTGAAAGAAAGTGAGGGATAGCAATACCTTAAAACAAATGCTTTGGATATTTTGCTCTTGAAAGCTAGTAGTGAACTATAACACACAATACAAAAACCTGAAGTCCAAGATCAATACATCCATATATATTACAAAAGATTCCAAGAACATTCTAAGGTGCAATAAAATAGATCCTCAGCACATGTTGGGATACCATATATATGTACCATTTATACATATATATATATATATATATATGTTAGAGATTATCGGACTACACATTTTAAATAAAAAAGCAAATGCCACTACATAAGATGCATTTCTTTTATATCAAATAACAATTCCAGGCTGAAGACAACAGTTTCAGGAGAAGTAAAGATATTTAGTTTACTCCTTTTGCAAGCATTCAAAATACCTAATGGTTGCCTTTGCCACTAGTACACTAGTACTGTGATGCATGCAAACAGATCCCCCATGTATTCAGCTGACTCAGAAAATACCTACAACTGAGCAATGGTGTGCAATGCAGAGGTACTCAAAGCTACATCTGGAATCAGAAACACCATAGCTATATCAATGGATTATGGTAGCAAGCTCACTAGGCCTTTTCAAAATACTGCATCACAACCAGATCAAATAGTGTAAGGTGATCTAATTTTATAGCTTTCTTCTAGATCATAAGAATAAACAACTTTGTTACAAAGACAGTACTATCATTGGATATTTAGTTTCTAATATGTGGTCTCTTACCTCACTAGCAGCATATGTGTATAGCACCTTATTTTTTATAACAAACCACAGGTGTTTCCATGGTTTCTTACTGCCCTTAGATCTGTGTAGGTAGCCACTCATTGTAGAGTCTTCTGTATTTGCTGAAACCTGAAGAGGAAGAAAAAAAAGCATCAACAAACCCTAATAAGATTTCACAGTACAGCTTGCTTTTTTTTTAACAGATTTCCAGAGCCCTGTCTGTCAGAGACCAAAATTCTTACCTGATCTCAGGTTAATGTTGCTAACTAACTCAGGTGGATGAAAGAAAAATTATTTTGCCTGCTACCATTTATCTGGTCTGGAAGAGAGGTTTCCAGTAAAGGATGGAACTTAAGTTGGATACAACAGGACAAGAGAGAGCTGAAATGCTGAGGAAAACATACAGCTGGAGAACACAGATTCCTGTATAAGAAGAATCATAGGATCAGAGTGGTTTGGCTTTGAAGAGACCTTAAAGATCATCTCATTTCAACTCCCCTTCCATGGGCAGGGACACCTTCCCCTAGAGCTTAGATGGCTTAAAGCCCCTCTAGTCTGGTCTTGAATGCTTCCAGGGATGGAGAGTCCACAACCCCTTTTTGGGTAACCTGTTCCAGTTCCTCACCACTCTTATAGTAAAGAATTTCTTTCTGGTATCTAATCTAAACCTACCCTCCTTCAACTTATGAAGGGTCCCCCTTGTCCTATCACTACATGCCCTTGTAAAAAGTCCCTCTCCAGCTTTCCTGTAGGCCCCTCTTCTGGTCCTGGAAGGCAGCTCCAAAATCTCCCTGGAGCCTTCTCTTCTCCAGACTGAACAATCCCAAGTCTCTCAGCCTGCTCTATTAGGAGAGGTGCTTCAGCCCTCCCTCAACTGAGTACCCCTCCTCTAGACTCATTCCAGCAAGTCCATGTCCTTATTATATTGGGGACCCCAGAGTTATACTGCAGGTGAGGTCTCAGCAGAGCAGAGCAGAGGGGCAGAATCTCCTCCCTCACCCTGCTGGCCATGCTGCTTTGGATGCAGTCCAGGACACAGTTGGTTTTCTGGGCTGCAAGGGCAGACTGCCAATTTATGTTGATCTTTTCACCCACAAACAGCCCCAGCTCTTTCTCCCCAGGGCTGGCATCAATCCATTCCCCACTCAGCCTGTATTTGTGCTTGGGATTTCCCTGCAGGACCTTTGGCTTGGACTTGCTGAATTTTGTGAGGTTCACACAGACCCATCTCTCACACCTATCCAGGTCCCTCTGGATGGCATCCCTTCCCTCCAGTGTGTGAACTACAACACACAGCTTGGGGTCATCAGCAAACCTGCTGAAAAATCACCTCCTCCCATTCCCAAGACCTGCAGTAAGTGTGGTTACTCTACCCTTCCTAATCATAAACCAAGAGCTGAGTTGGTGTAGGAGTCTTGTCATTGACTGTTGGTACAGTGATACATCCCAATTCAGGGAAACATGGGGAAGCAAGAAAGAAATTACAACTTTAACTATAGCTCTGAATCACAGTCTCACAGGTGTTCATGCAGTTTACACAGTGCTTCATTGTTCATGTCCCTGCCTATTTAAAACTAAGGCCCAAACCTCAGAGACACATTATGACTTTTGATTCTAGGTAAGATGGTTAAAATAAGGATTTTTTTTTCCCCACTCTTAATATTGATGATATAATAGCAAGAAGGTACCACTTTTGACCAATAAAACACTTACTTCTTTGAGGGCTGCAGGAATTTTTTTCTGCTTTCTTCCAGAGGGAATACTTTGCAATACTGTAGACAAGGCACTTGATGGAGATTTATGGTTGACTGGGGATCCGCTCTTAGGAGTGCACTGGTTATCTAAAATGCACAGGATGGATATATTGATTTCATGTCACAAATAACTAAACACAGGCAATTCATTCTTGGACTTTTCTTCTTAAAAACAGCTGGCATTTTTGTTCAGATTACAGGGTTGCAATAGTAACACCTAATCATGTGAAATTCAGCACTGAATTAACTTTTCAATGTTATCATCAACACCATGAGTTAGAATGCCCCAAATCACAACCATACCAGAAAAACACAAGAAGTTTAAAACTAAACAAATTAGTCTTGTTTGTTTTCAAAGTCTGTTTTCTGGGTGTTGAACTGCCTTTGCTCATAAAGAGGGTGAAAATTAAGTCTTAAAAATCGCAGCAAATTTTTACAGCTGTCCTCTATGTTTTCTGTACTTTATCTTTCAATTCTCTACATCTGTTAACTTCTCAACCTTATTCAATAGGGATGTTCCTCTTCCAGCACACACACATTTCTGGACATTCCCATCTCCCAGCATATACTGTCTTTCTGCACTGCCACAGGCAGTTACTCATCTCTCTAGGAAGACTTATGCAACACTTCACCTCTTCAAAAATCCTTTTTCTAGCAACACTTTTTCTTAGACCTGCACTTGGAATGAGTGGTTTCATAAAGTCTACTTCTAGAGTTGGCCCTGAACTCGGTGATGCTCTGAGATAATGAGAAGAGCAGGAGAGCAATGTGATTACCAGCTGTAGTGCACCTGCTCCCCAGCCCTTTTCCCAGCTTCAGGCAGCTGCAATAGCCTGCAGCACAGCAGCCTCTAGTGCCCAGCACAGACACCTGCAGCTGGTTCAGACAGTGCCCTTCCCATCACCATAGGCTCCCACTGTCATTTCTTGCATTATCCATGCTGTTCTCTGCACCCCCACTGGAAATGTCACCCCCAGCCTGCTGGGATCCAGTGCTTTATCATTTCACTAGGCACCTCAGATTTCCTGATACCCCAGAGAGCTCGTGTCACACTGGAGCCTTGCTGAGGGAAGTAGACCAGAAAGCTCTTTCAGTCTGTCTACAGCTCATTTGGGTACTTTATACTCGAGTATTTCAATTTAGTTCACAGCAAGTCTTGTGAGATGGGACTGGATTCCCACCTCACTGGGAGGTGCTTCCATTGATTTTACACTTGTTTCTGCAGAATGATATGAAGCTTCTTCAAAGAGATGTACTAGAGTTTTCTCAGGATGAGGACACTGACCCTGAATCTCATCTTTAAGCAAATGTTAATTACCATTAGGCTATCCAGCCATTGCTATCCCCTAGGCACCACATTCTCTGAAAGCGTTCCAGTGAAAATTGCTCTAGCTGTGGTGTTTTATTTTGAATTCCGTATTGCCAGTGTTCAGTAGGCAATGGTTAGGAGTTTGCTTTCATATATGAGGTACACATATGCCAAATTCTTGAATTCCATATGAGCTGAGGCTTGAGAGTGGCTTGAGGCCAGTTTATAGCCCTGCAGAGACTCAGCTTCAGAAAGATTAAGGCCTGTGTCTCTACAGAGCCCCAGAACTTTAGCCATCTCAGCAGCTCAGCTGGCAAAAATGAAGTTTACAGACATACAAATTACAGAGTGTAAAAGTACACATGAACCCCTGGGAGGTCAGGATAAACTGTGAGGACTCTAATGTACACTTGTACCTGGTGATTAATGAAAAGCAATGTAACACTTGTCACCTCAAAAGGAAAGCTATATAAGCTACATGTCATTACCATGGGGTAAAGGCACACATGTTTCTGGAAGAAAGAGCCAATGTATTGCAAATTCATTTCCTAACTTGATGCACAGAAGCTTGTTTGGCTTAGAATCTCAGGTGCCTATCATTTTTCAGGCACAAGCAGAACTAAGCACTTGAACCCAGCAGTAAAGATGAGGCACACATATACCACGTTATAAAGGCCACAAAAGTAAGATACAGTTTGTGAAGATTTTCTTTACCTTGCTTTTGTAGCTCCCTGAAGCAATGATCACATACTCTAGCTGGCTGGTTTTTCATATAGTCTAAGCCATGTTTGTTTGATGAACAAGCTTGACAGACAATCTGGAAAAAAGATAGAAACATATAAAAACATTACGGTACATGATGTGCACCTGTAAATCACCAAAGACCCAAAGACATTCACTTCAGCACTTTTAAGCCCATAAAACCCTGAAATAGGCATTATTTTACAGTGCAAATGTTTTAAGATCTTGGCTTTTCCCCATGTCTTTATGCTTAACATGGTGTTCTTTCCTCCTCTAAATTATGAAAATTTAAATATTAAAAAATCAGTGAATTAGGAGGCAATAAGCCAACATTAATAATCCATTAAAAATAGAACAAGCATATTGTGTTACTGATTTGATCAACTGTTTTGATTATAAATTTTTTGAAATAGTTAAAAAGCTATTGCTCTCTTGATGATTTCTTTACAATACAGATGCCTCAACTGCATTGCATTCTAACTTTGTATTCCCACTGGATTAAAAGAAGAAAGGTAAAGTTTATTAGATATAGCTTTCATAAGTGTAAATATAAAAGAAGGTTAGTGCTAACTTAAAATCGAAAATCATTATTTATCTATGAAAATTAGTGAGGAAGATACTTCTTCCTTTTAGCTAACATTTGTGGGTATTATGTAATTGCAAAATAACCATAAGTAGCACTCCAGAATGCAAAATAACTAACATGTAGCATGTTGAAGTTTGAATACTGGTCTGTCATAACACCTGTCCAAAAAACCCGTAACACCAGTCCCCAAACCACCAACCCCAGCATGTTGGTTCTAACCCACGTAATTGAATCATAGTACAGGGTTTCTGAGAAGAGTGCTTGGGATGACAAGGCTCCACCTGAATGTCACACAAGGAACCTAAATGGCCAACTGAAAAGTTAACCACAAGATCAGCCAACCTTCCCGCATGCCCTGCAGTGGTGCCTTCTCCATGTCAGCGTGAATTCACTGGTACAGATCATGCACATCGTGGCTCTGGTGTCAGGGATCCAGATGGGAGCCTTTGATCCCAGAGGACTGTCTTCTTCCTGCTTCTCTGCATCTGCCTGAGACAACATAGGCACAATAGCACTACATTCACTGAGGAGAAATAAGACTAATATTCATCAGTGATTACAAGATAATGCTAATGGTGTTGGAAAGCCTTCTCTGATAAATTGTCATGGTCTTAAATGTTACCTACTATTTCATCAGTGACCATTATAATGCAAGCCTGACAACAGAGATGCATTTAATGACTTTCAAGCTTTACCAGCCTACTTGGATCAATAGCTGCTTTATTTTAAAACCTTTTCATTTCATCTTTCTGTGAACAAGGCTACAGAGAGAACTGTGAAAACTGATTTAGGTTTTCTTGAAGAAAATAAATTTATGAAGTAGATAACACTATGAAATATTCTGTTCTACCATCTGTTCAATTATTTACCATCCTGCTTTATTATTTGTCATGGAATACCTCTCGTTTCTCTAAGCACCTGTCAGGAAACTTTATATTCAAAAAGGGAACAAACCAACAATAGTGGTGGGATATACCTCTTCAAGACTTTTGCTTGGATTAAATGTGATTCTCTTTTTCGTATATTCTTCAATTGACTTGGAGATAGCTTCTAACCACTCATCTCTTTCTTTAGCAGAACTGTTGGAGTAAAAACCCACAAAAGCAATTTATTATTATTAACATTTTAAGAAGCAAGTGTTGATTAGAATTCCACTAGCTTTATTACACAGTGGAGTAACTCTCTTGCAATTCCAGTTTATAAAACATCTACAAGTTTATAAAACATCTACAATTCCTACTGCAACTGGCATTATTTTTTAACCTTTGGCATAGTGTTAGTTATTTATGTTGATTAATACTAAAAAAGATTTGTCTGCTGTCATGTGGATTCTCTCCTTCCCTTTCCTCCTTCTAAAATCCCTGTAATTCTTTCAAGGCTTGTCTGTCATTGCTTCCCCCTCCTCCCCACACCCTTGAATAGCCTGAATAATACTTGTTTAAATGATGCTCCTAGAACAAAAAGCATGGGCCTTCCATCTTGAAGGCAACCTGAAATTTCAGCAAGCCTTTTTTCTCCCCACCTCCTTCTGCCTCAGAGTGCAGTTTGCTATACCCAACCCTGTGAAACTCCAAGCTTCTGTCAGATAAAACCACACTGACTCTTCTCCTGCCTTGTGCTCCTAACTATTTGCTCCTACCAGGTCATGTTACTTTCAAACAATAATGTTTTTTCCCCAAAATGTTTCCATTGGATGAGCTAACTCAAAGAGACAGACAGGTAAGCTTAGTCCATCTCTTTTTCCCACGGCTGGTGGTGAATCACTAACCAAGTGCAAGGAAAGCATTAGGCTGAAGTGGCATGGCACAGGGAGCATGAGGAGTGCCTGGTGCAGTAGGATCCTGCAGCTATACTGGATTATGTGCAGTGCCAAAGCACCTCCTCTGTCCATGGGTACAACACCATTTTCATAAATCTGTGCTGTTCTTGTGGCAAAGGGCAGCCTAGTATCCCTTCTCTCAGCCACTAGATCTTATTTTCACTCTTGTGCCAGAACACACACAATTATGCAGCAGGCTGGATTGGGAAACAAATCCATATTAAAGCAAGCCATCAAACTGCCCTTCCTCTGGATCAATTTACCAACTAATTTACCATCACACAGCTGAACAACTACTTGTGCCAGCAACACAGAGAAGGCTCTGAGGAAGGATGAAGCAGTTTTGTAGCAGAGGAACAGCTAGACTGTTTAAGATGCCATGCCAGCTTAAAAAGGGTTTCTAAAATTTAAACAAGAATCCACTCCCATAATTTTTTTCTATTCCCCACTTTTTAATTAGTATCAAGTAAATTAATTTGTTTAAACCAAGGAATTGAACAAAAATATAGAGAAAGGAAAGTTAGGGAAGAGTTAAGCAATGACTTACACAAATAAGGTGCCTAATGCCAATTATTTTAATAATTGGCATTAGACACCTTATTTGTGTAAGTGGTTTTGTAGGTGAATTTGGAAGTTTTTATAATTTTTGGACCTTTAAGGAAAATATTTTGAATGAGGGGTTTGAATGGGATGAAACTGCTATACAGAATCAGAGAGGACAAATCTGCTAAAGTAAACATATGGGAAGCCTGTGAGGCACAAGCAAAAGAAAAAAGATCTAGCACACACAGCAACAAAATCAGAACAAAAGGAGAGGAAATAAGATACATGCAAGGGCAAAGCAATGCATTAGTGTCTGTCCCAACATCTCACATTCTGAGTGGAACATTCTGTTCAGTCTATTTACCTTTGCTTCCTCATCTGGAAAGAACAACTGGCCTGCATTAACTACGAAATATTCAGAACTCTAATCAACTCCTTTGGCTTTTTCAAAATCTGGTTACATTTAATTCGATTCCTGTAACTGTATCAGTTAATTAACTTGAAAGATGGCACAGGTTTTGGAGATTACGCACCACCACCATCCCCACCATGTGGGGACTGCTCTGTATGCAGCGGCTTGCACAATGAGCTACAGGCTTACACTCTTGTATTTCACCAATAACCTCATGCTCAGTAGGTTTGCTAGTGGTAGCCTTTAGAATTGTTTACAATCCTTCAGAATGGAAGAGCAAAGGTGGTGCCACTGGCAATGGAATTGTTGCAATGGTGTGCTGCAGCAAAATCGGCAGTTCCTTCTGCTGTCACTCCAGCCCTCCCCCACAGTTTCCCCTGCTGCAGATCCACTATTTGTTGCATCCTTACAAAAGTGATTTTGTTTACTAAACAAAATTGGTGTTATTGGCTTTTTTAAACATTATTATTTTTATTTATTTAAGATTTAACATCACAGTGGAAAGCCTCAAATGGATTACAGAAAACCCTAGCAATGGCTAGCACTGGCAAGTGCATGTGCTGGGGGCACACATCCAGCTGCTCACTGGAGCTAAACAGCTCAGTGGCCCCAGAAGGACACTGGGGAAGTGTGTCCCTCTTGTTTCCAGAGCCTTAGGGCACCTCTCCCAGCTGAGCCTGTCTTGCCTGACCATCCTAAGGTAGGATAGGAGGAGATGCAGCTCTATCTGCCTGGGGTAGCTCTTCACCAGCCTTATTGAGGGGGCAGACCACATCAGGCTGCCGTGACTGCTGTTGCCAGGACCAAAGCTTTACTTCTGCACAGTGCTATGTACTTCTGTATCATGCAGATGTATTAACTTGCTTTTCTGATGAAGAGATTTCTAGTACAATGCTGCATTATACTATGAAAAAGAATTCACATTCCTACAGATATCACAGGAAAACTGAAACCTCAACCCAGACTAGATACAGTGCAATACTAATGCAGTCAGTAAAACTAAACCTGAAGTGACAGACTCTTGTCTAGGCATTCATCTATATTTCTGTTATTAACTAGCCTGCTTTTTATTACTAGCAATTTTTCACCAGCTTAATTTTTCACTTCCTTGTCTCTGCTCCCAGGATCATTTCAGAATCTCTTCTTTGGTGTACACTCCACATAATGCTTATTATTTGAAAAAAAATCCATGGAAATGAAATTTGTCTCCAGTGTCTTTAAGACTAATTTGAACAGTTTTGAAAAAGAGGTTGTTTTTTTTACCATATAGGACCTGACAAGTTGTTAGAATGAGGCATCATGCAAAGGAAGATGTAGCCTGGGCTGACAAGATGTGAATTCTCTTCACATTTAGAATATTTATCAATAGGAAAAACACAGTTGATTGGGAAAAATATATGCAAGCACCTGCTGCGGGTAGTATTTTTCAATTGCTTCCCTCCTACACCACAGCAGGCCAGTTCTGGTGACAGACAGAAAACAATCTGAAAACTGTCATTTACATCTGGAGCCTCCAGCACCTCCTTCATGCCACACAAATCAACCTCTCTCTGACCCTGCTGTCTAACTTAGGGCTCCTGCACAGGCATGGCTCCCAGCAAGTACAAAAATAACAGAGCTGAATGCTCCCAAAGATGCAACATCAACAACACTAAAAGAATAAACCACAAAAACAAACAAACAAAAATAACCCAAATTGTAGCAGCCTCAGTCAGCAATATGAGGTTAATTCCAGCAATTTCAAGGTTAAGACAAAAGTATGTCACAAACTCTGCCAAATTGATGAGCATGTTATCTGTAGGGATTTTCCCCTATGGACCAGCACATCTTTCCCAGGAGTTGCTTTTAATCTACCACTGAACCAGTTCATCAAAAAGACTAGTCTAACCTGTTTTGTGGAAAATAAGTAGCTTGTATGTTAAGATGATAACATTTTCAGAAGTTCCAATTATTCTTTTACATTTTTTGGAACAACTGAATTAAAAGTGAAACACTGTTTCAAGTCAAGCAGAGATAAATCCTCATTGCCTGCTGCCATCCCCTGAATGCCTTCATGTGTCTGTGTGACCTGTAGTCACACAGCAGCACAGAGCTGTTCATATTACACTGGAGCAGAGCCCTACCCTAAACTGTGAAATGCATTGTTTTCCCCCAGTGTGCAGAAGACCTCTAAAAAATGTTTAAATTTGTTGAAGAAATACAGAATTACCCATTTCAAGTGTGTTTTTATAAATAACTACTGCTCTGACAATTGAGCTACTTCCTTTGGCTTCTTTGACAGTGTTAACCTTGGTCTACCCCTCAGCTACAGATACTGCTATCTTTGTGCATTCTCATGTCAGTATTTACAAGGTCACACAAAAAGCAGCAGTCTGCTCTTGCTCAGCTTTGCTAAATAAAAGAGAAAACATGTCTCTCTTCATTGGTATCAGCACTGTCACAAATGTCAGAACACATAAAACTTCAACTCAAGCACCATAAAAACAACAATGCACAAAAACAGGCCTTTGCTTAAGGCATGTCAGTGAAGGTGACCAGAGCTGGCTCAGTGACCATGTATCATTTTGCTGTTACTTAGAGAATTTGGTAACATAGAGCACATCAGTAATTTTAGAACAAAAAAATACTGAAAAGCAAAGCCTAAAATGAAGTGAATTGAAATTCTCTCAAGGAAAGGCAGTGCAAGGATAGTATTTCAATTTAATTGGAAGTTTCTGAAGGTAAGGTGAGTTTCTGCAGCTGAGGTGAAAAAGAGGAACCAAACAATGGTTGTATTCACTCTGATTTACTGATTCCCTGTATTCTGTAATCACTCTAGCCAAGAGTAACTTTTCATGACATTAAGTGCAAAACAAGCCCTAAAAAGCTTGTGAGGCCTGTTTGAAAACACACAGTTTCAAAATCACTTTTTTTTTTAAAGATTTACCTTGCTGAAAGAATGAAGGATCTCTCTACGCTTTCAATGTTCAGTTCATTCTGATATGCTTCCTGCGTTGGCTTCTTAACCTTCAGCCAAGAGAGAAAACTTCACATTCAAACTGAAATGGTACTTTTGTCATTGCTTTAATCTGAATTCCTGGAAAATCTCTTACATTTTTATTGCAGAAGAAGAACACTGGAGAGAAAATACTCAGAAACAGGAAATTATATACCAGTCCAGAGGGCCCAGCTACATTAAGATTACACACAGCCCATCCTTTTATTTCACTGGCCCTCATACAAACACTGGAGATGCACAGGGGAATGAAGCTCAAGAGCTGTCAGACACCTTCCACACAGGCCCAGTCATGTTGCCTCAAGCACCTCCTGCAACTGGACAAAAAAAAGGACACTGCTGCTGCTGCAGGATGAGGTATAGCCCACTGGTGTATCCCAGAGTGGGCAAGGGCTGCACTACCCTGTTGATCTTCTGAGCCGCCACATTTCAAACTTAAGGAGGATTAAAAATCAGGAGTGGGTCTGAGCCACTGCAAGACATCTGCTGGCAAAAGAGATTTTGTAGCTCTACTTGCAAAACTTTGGACCTGAGTGCCAGATCTGCACTACTCCTTGACTTGGTGATTTTTCTGACAGGACTGGAGACAATGATTCCCAAGGCAATGATTTGTTGTTCCCTTTAAGTGTCATGTCAGCTACTGAGTCACTTTATTGCATGCATGTCCCTTATCATTACCCAGGGGCCTCAAGGCTTAACTTTGATGCTTTTCACAAGTGCTCAGGAAGAAAAGTTGTATCTTCCCTCACAGTTAGCAAATCTATAAACCAGAGAGAACTGATCCACCAGGATCTTATCAGGCAAAGATGCCTAATCTCTGGGTGTCAGCAATAAAAAGCAGTTAAAAGGCAAAAATGAGGCAGTCTAAACAAAATACAAAAAATTAGTAGGCAGACTATTCCAGAGTAGGACAACACTGGGTGAAATGCAGCCAAGATGATCCTGTAGCAACAGAATATTTAGGGAAACCTAGATAGGAATTCCACAGGCCACATTATGCAAAAAATGTCAAGCCTGTAGGATTGCTCTGGAACAATATAAGCATATTTAATATCTCTTGCCAACAGTAAAACCAGTTAAGTTTTCAAACTTTGAAAGCCTGAGTTTAGGTAGATTTGAAGAAAGGCTCACTTTAACAAGTGACTCACCTTCATTCCAGCCAATGACAGCATGTTGTTGAGTTTATACATCCCTGACTGAACTGGAGTAGTATACAACAGGGCATCATTGAACTGTAATACAGAATGCTTTTAATGACTAAAGTTGGTTACAAGACAGATAATTTCAGATGGATATTACTGGAAGTACAGAACTCCTACAGCACTGAGATAACTGTCCAGAAGTATTCCCTACTTCCTATTATTCCACTTAGAATCCAAGAAGCATTTTCATGTATGAATTTAGATAACAATAGGTATCTATTTATATCCTCCTTGTGTAAAGATACATTTGGCACATGAGTCAACAGTGCATGGATGTTAAATAACAGGCTGTCAAAAGGGACAAAAATGTTTCTGGTGTACACAGGTATATAGTATAGCAAACTAATTTAAAAGGATATTAGAATTAACCATTCAAACAAATCAAAGCAATACAGAAACTAGGAGATAGCAGAATGGATTAGCAATTTGTAATGACAAACTTAACTGTACCTTGTGAATTTTACCAGTTTTAAGTACATCTACTGTTTATTTCCTGTTCTTACAGACTTGGATTTGTTGAGTGCACTTACTAAACAATAACTAAGATTTTTTTATTTTCTGTGCTGTTCAACACATGGATCCAAACTTCATTTACTACACATAAACAAATACCAAAACCTGAAGTGCCTCTTAAGTTTTTGCTATGTGACTCTTTGTAAAATAGCCAAATGTTTAAAATTATTACTAAATCTTCACAACATGATAAATGGAAAAATCACTGCATCTAATGGTATGAATGCTAGCCTGTACCATTTATATCTGTGAAAAACCCCAAACCAAACAAAGCCCTTGCCCCATAAAACAACACAGAGAAAATCCAAGAGACACAGAAATTAGTAATATCTAGTTTGTGAAGCTTGAGATAGCACCACATTTTTGAGAGTATTTCGGTAACTGGTATAATACACACTCCAGGACTGCCGAGGGAAGTATTTCTTCATATCAGGGTAACTACAAGACAGGATTCAGCCAGGACTGTGGACCAATAATGGAATAAATTACAGGATAACAGCTGCTTTACTGTCTAAATAGAAGAGATAAACAAAAGGTTCAAGTGGAAACAGAAACTTCAGAGATGCACAGAAGTTTCAAAACAAAGCAGTAGCAGAGACAGGAAAAGAACTCAGTACTTAACTTCCACCCAGTGCTCTGCTCAGGATGCACGTGGGCTCCTGCAAGGGCAAGGAGAGAGGAGGAGGGAGACGGGAGGAAGGAAAGGAGGGAGGGAAGGGTGCAGAAGCAGTGACAAGAGTTGTAGGTTTTAAGATCTGGTGCAGCTCAGAGGGAGGGAGTAACTGTGCTACCTTCCACAGTACCACAGATAATGTCTTCTCATGAAAGCTCTCAGATTTTAAATGAGCATTATTCAAAATAGTATGCTTTAATGAGAAATGATTTCTCATTAAAATTAGTGCATATGCCACAGATAATATCTCTACATTAGAACTGACTGAATAGAACAGCAACAATTAGTAATTTTTTCTACTACCTGCAGTTATTAGTTATGCTTGCAGTGTAATGTTTTAACCACTAAAAATTACACTAGAATAAGGCACATAGCAACATACATAACATCTTACCAGAAAAAACATTCTTGGCTGCATGACCTTTCGTGATAGCTTCATCAGTGTTCCCTCTTTCAAAAAGACCTAGTAAATTAAAACAATGAATGCAAAACTTAGCCTTTTAGGGCACAAGCCATGCAAATGAACTAACTTTTTTATAACTATTATCATGATTATTATTATTATTTCTACACTAGAAGTGCTGCACAAGTTTTGGGATTCAGGGTTCCCTTTCTGAGAAAAGCTGTTTATCCTTACGTTTCTCTAAAAGTGAGTGTGGATGACTGCATTAGTTTTCCATGCTGCACATGAAACCATGAGAAATAAAGGGTTAAGCTTGAGGACAAAAACCTGCCTGCAAGTTCTGGCAAGGAATCATAATCTAAAAATTTTAAGTTTCTGTCAGATAAACATCTAAAAAACCCCCACATATAAGGAGCACCAATATTCATTTGACTGCTAGAACCTAATAATGAAGCAAGGGACCAATTTTCTTCTTTGTATATTCCAGCATCAGTCTTTGCTTGAATATCATCTTCACTTTCCCTGCAATCTGCTTAATGCCATGGGGCACTTACCCTTCCTGGCTGGACGATCTCATGGTGTCCATTTAAACTGTATTGGATCTGCATGAGCTTCTGAAAGTTATCCTTGGAGGGGAAAAAGTAGAAGGTAAGTACTTGCCCTTGCATTCATGATTTTTTTTAAGGAACAAAAACAAGAGAGAAAGAGAGAGAGATAGAGAGAGAGAAAGAGAAAAAGCTTTAATCAATCAGCTTCATATGGCAAAATACTTACTCCCTGCTTCATAATGTCATTGGCATGGTTTGCAACTTCTATAACAACAGCTAAAGCATCTGAAAGATGAAGAAATGATGTTTTGGTTATACAGACCAGTTAGCATTGGTATCATGTAAAGCACAGATACCATACTGCATTTCCACATCATTCCAAGATTGAAAGATCTTATTGTACAGACACTGCATTCAGGAGCACTTCCCAAAAATCCCAGAGTCTTTGGATCATGGTTTAATAAGTGTGCCCCAGTAAGTTATTGCTTCAACCAACAGTGTCAATTATTTCTTACAGTTACTCAAAGCATAGCCAAAGCTAAATTCCAGTTTCTCACACAACAAATTACTTACTATACTTACAGCAGAAAAGTTAACAACATTTTAACAGAGACTCTATAGGGACTAAGTTTTTGCCATTTTTACCCAAATGCCATCACTGCCATTCATGGGTGACTACCTAGAAAAATTATATAAATCTTTGTCATTTCTATCTTCTGCCTTTAGTTTTTCTGCCCCTCAAAATAACGGTAAAGTTCAAATTTCTAAATTTTGAACTTGTAATACCAAAAGAAAAAAAAAATCTCTGGAAAATGTTACCAAATATGAGCAATTTTATTAAGTACTGATATTTAATAACCAGGAACTCAACTGTGAGAGATCCTAAGGTGTAAGTGCAAAAAGCAGTTATATAAAATGATTATGTGAACACAGTGAGTATTCTGTCCAAGTCCAAGAATCCATCCCATACAAGGATCTTATCCAAAAACCTGCACTTTACTTAAGCTAGAAAAATGACACTTAACCGAAAGCTGGAACAACTGTTGTGCTGAAATGTAGTCTCTAAAGCATTTAGCACCTTCTGAGTAACTGAATTACAGTCAAGCACTTCAAAGAAAGGAATAAATTTGGTTAAAAGTCCACAGAGAAGCCTACCAAACCAGGTAACACTAAGGCCTTGGGTTTTTTCCTAGCTAATCATTAGAGTATTAGTACTGTAGAATGCATATACTTCCTTTATTGTTGACTCATATTTGGAAAGAAAGTATGTTAAAAGACAGAGCTTTCTGAACTGAAAGGTTCAGAACCTCAGGAAACCATATAAGAAACTAAACAGACATGAACAAAAAGCTCCTCCTAAGCCAATTGAAAGAGATTTTTTGTAAAAGATTGTCACAAACCAAGGCAATGCAAGCACAGAGTCAAACAGCTAAGATACATAGCACATATCAAGGATTTGATCAAAATTTAAGTTGAGATATAGTTGTCATGAAACCAAGCAAGCCTGCTCAAATGTAGCTGGTGGTCTCTTTCTAGGTAATGCTGGAGCTGCTTCAGGCAAAACCCTCCCCAGCTCCCACCCACATGAAAGAAGATGAAGGGAAATGTAGCTAAATTCACAAAGACAGGAATGAGCACCTGATTCTCTCTGTTATACTTTCCTTCATCTCTCAGTTACTATATATATTAGAACCTTAAAATTTTATTTATTGACTTCAGGAAAGATTGAAGAATTTTAGAGAAAATGATAAAATTTGCTGGCTAGTGAAGGGAAAGTTCCAGGATCTCAGGACTATTTATACAGCCAAGACTAAATTAATCTAAACAACAACATAAAATAATCTATAGGGTCAAAGTCCATAAACAAAGTGCTTTTTGGCAGGGAAGAGCGTTCCACTTATACCACTTAGCTGAAGTAATGTATTCAAATTAAGGTCAGCAAGAAGAATTGTGCTATTTGGGTATTTTTTCAAGAGTACTAATCACAACCAAACCTAGTCTCCCTCTCCACTCCTACCCTTCACTCCCAGGCTCTGCATTGGAATTAAACAACTAAGCAAAGTTGGAAGTAAGATAAGCTTAATTATTACAAGAAAGATCTTGGTGACTAAAGATTAGATTTTCTTTTCTTACCCAAATTCTAAGATGGACTACCAAATATATCAGATGTCAAATTAACACTTAGGCATTGTTATAACTTAACTTCAGCTTCTATCTTTATATAAGAAGGGAGAGAAAAACACTGTGAAAGATATAACTATAAAAACCAGAGAAGCTGAAGAAACCACAAAAAAGTGAACAATATATTTAGATTGCTCTCTTTTCAAGTGGTCAGCTGTTTAACATGCAGTGCAAGTATTTTGTTGACAGCTATAAGAAGTGCAAGATGAACTCTTCTATCTCTTGAAGAGCCGTAAGTTAAATTATTTTTGACTTGTATCTTCAACATACTCAAATACGTCTAAATGTCTTGAGAAATATATTTACTCATAAACTTCATGGTATTGTACCAGCAGACAAAGCAAACTTGGCTCAGTGCATTGAAGGTGCTTATTTATTGAAGTTCAATCAATTACATCTGCACAACTCTTCTAAAGGTAATGAACTTGCACAAATGTGACAGGCTCTCATGCAAATGAAATGGAAACATCAACTGGGAGCATTCTTTGTACTGCTGAGGCACACTCTGAAGAAGGAACCAGCCTGAATGTGCAGTGCATTGATATGCTCAAGTTAAACCACCTTAATCCTGCACTATCATGAAATGTGTGCTCCTGTCCTCTTAACCACCAATGACTTCTCATTTCCTCTGATCTCCTTTCTCTCCACATGCAGGCAAAAACCTGTGTGAGTAACATGTGTTTGTGCAGCTTCTGACAACTCAAACTGGAGAACTCCTCAGGTTAAATATTACCCATGGCAGCTCCTTGATCTTGCTCACTTCTGCCACACGGATGCTTTTCCTGGCACAAAGAGAGAGGAGGAGGCCACGAAGGCTCATAGCTGGAGAGAGCATGCTGCCTATAAAGGTCTGCAGATGCAAGGGACTGTCTCTTTCAAAGGCAGTGCCTAAAATATCTGTTTAAACTGCCTGTGGAACTTCACTCTTATCTCTTGGTTTCAATTCAAGCGTGAGCTGATATGACTGCCAGGTCCAAACTTTTCTGAAACAAAAGCTTGCAATCTTTTAGTATCTCTGGTGAGAAACTTAGAACTAAATAGAAAACATTTCTATTACTGACTTAGCATTTTGCATTTAAAATCTTGAAACATTGGTACATATGCTGTTATTTCTTTAAAGAGACATTTACCTTGAGTATCCCTATAGTCTGCAGATTCTTCTAAAAGATTCTTTAAATAATCTGTATAAAGAAAAAATAATATAGAGATAGTTTTGTTAAATAAATAAACAACACCAGAAAGTAGTAAGCCCCATCTTTTTCCTGGAAATCTGCTGTTCAGATCTACTCCTAATTGACAAACACCTACTACTTTATCTTTTAAATCTGTTGAGGTAATAACAAAGTGAAAACTAGCATCTCCATAATGAAAGTATATCAGCAAAAGAGATAGGTTACTGAAACAAAAAAGAGATAGGTTACGTAGTCTTCTCCAGTGAAAAGTGATACATTGTATACATTATTCCAGAAAAAAAAAAGCAAGTGAAAAATTAGTACATACTTGCAATCATTTATATTTAAGCTGATGTAAAAAACTTTTGAAGATTATAGATATTTGTCTGAACACCAAAATTAGTCTCTAGGAGCTATTAAAAAAATAGTCCACTACAGAAGATCTGATGAAGATTAATATTTTTCAGTAATAAAAACAATATACTTCCCTTAATGTTCAAATAGGCATTTTCAGTTCTCAATGACACTTGTAGTTCAACCACGAGATGGCAACCTCGATCCATTAAAGTCTTGGTAGTTTTAAAATCTATTTTACTTCGCTAAAATTAACTCCAAATGTATGACTATACATGAAGACATCCCCCTCGAGTTTCCATTCCCTGGCTGAGTGTCTAGTTCATCAAAAAGTGCAATACTCTGTTAAAGATTAATATATATCCTCAGTAAAATGTCAATCATGTACTCTGTAATCTTTGAACTTCTTAAAATGAAAAGAAACCAAACCAGAAACATTCCAAGAGATATACATCAGATTGATAAAGTCAACAAATACTGATTTATAATTACCTTTTAAATGAAGTATTAATATTCTGGCAGATCTAATGAAAACTAATTACATGTAGTAAGCATTCAATTTTAGCTTCTCAGTTGTACAAGCTTCATGTAGGAGTGAAATAATTCAACTCCCATATGCCTGCCCTACCCAAATTCATTCTTTCATTCAAAAAGGATTGGGAGCCAATTGTTCCTGCCTTCATAAGATGTCTTGCTTCATGCGTGCCCCTCAGAGACCATTCAGTGCATTGTAATCTTTTCCTTATGCACAAAATTAAAAGGGAATTATGAAACATGTTTCTGCAGTAGAACTGCCATGAAAAGTGAGAGAACTTGTCACAGTTAATGAAAGCTTTGAAAAAACCAGAACTACAGGAAGAGAAACACTTGGCACTGACATTTTATTGTTTGGCAGAGACCTAAGGGAGGATCCAAGGGAGAAGCATGGAGAGCAGGTTGGGGTGCAGGAAGAGGAACCGGCTGGGAGGCAGGGAGGGAGCTCTGGGAAGCACAATTGACTGGGCCATGGGAACACTCAGCTTTCTGCTCTCCTCAGAGTTCTGCTTGATCATTAGCAGGATTTGGTTAACATGTGATCTTTTAAGACAAGTCTGACCTGGACCAAAACTTTGTCTGCTGTACTCCATCAATATTGCATCCTTCATGTCCCTCAAAATCTTGTGCTGTAGTAGCTACCAGCCATTCCAATGCAGTATTTAGGTGGCCATATATTCCATTTAAAAAAAAAAATTAATCTTTCTTCACCTTGGGTTATTCTGGTAAAAGGCTTGTATGAGGGGGGGAAAAAAATTACAGGAGGTATTTTGAAAGGAACTGGGAAGAGTTCACACCAGGTTTAATTTGGTTTAACCTGTCACAGATACAACACCAGGTGCCCTCTCCTGCCCTTCCTGTGGACGGGTGGTCTCTCAAATTGGAGCTGTGCCAGAGCACTCTTTGGACTCCACCATTAAGCCAACACAAATTAAAACTTTACAATTGCAACTTGATGTTCATTGGAGCCAGTACAAAAGACTCCTATGGGAATCTCCCAGTAGAAAAAATGAGTCCCTACAGCTCATACAGAAATAAGACTCCCAAACTACACACTCACCTCTACAGGCTGGGAACAAGAGGTAAGGTGGGTATAATTTCCTCATCTGCAAATGTACAGCTGGCACTCTAAGACACTGTCCCTCGTACACGAAGACATCCAATTTAACATCCAAAGTAATTGCAGTGGAAACATAAAACCAGAGATTCAAGATGGGAACTAATTATTTCTTGGCATATTCATGCTTTATAACATGTTTCCCAAAACACCATTACTCAAATCCATTTTTGGATGGGTATTTTCAAGCATTTTAAATTAAATAATCAGTGAATAGAAGAGGTAAAATCAAGATTTTTAACATAACAGCATTCATTTAAAATTACGTATTTAAAACCAAAGGCAGCCTTTGTCTTACAAAACTGCAGCAGCCAATAAAACAACTGTAAAATCCTGAAAGTGATAAATACGTAATTTTCATCTTAGTACTCTCTTTATCTGGTAAGTGGACCTCAGTTCACAGCTAAAACTCAGCTTCAGAGAGGCATCAGAACAGATATTTTTAGTCTCTTCTGTGAATACACACTGGAAATTCTGTGCTTACAACAGCCTTCTGGAGGTACTGGCATAAACTATACAGACAAGCTGATTTCACAGACATGAAAAATATTGCAGTAAAATTTTTGCAAAAGTACTCCTAGATGAAATAAATACAGAAGTCAGATATTAAGGTGAAATGGCATCTAATGTCTTTGCAAAAAAAAAAAAAATCCCCTCTGAAATAAGCTTTCATTGTTGAGACTAGAAAGACCTTAATTATACCTTCAGAAATTCTTAATTCTGCTGAACACCCCAAAGCACAGCAAAAATAAACATAAAAGCACACTAGTACTGTTTTTGTGATGAAAATTTCTGTATGCCTACTTCTACCTGACAGCAGCCCCCAGTTCTTTCTTCCCACTTGCTGGGGGAAGTGGCTATCACTTCTTCTGCTTAAAATTATCTTCTGCGTCATTAACTACTTTTTGTCTTGGGTTGTCTAATGTAATTAATTTAAACTCAAAGCAATTGTTCCACAACATGTAATTGGCCTTGAGTCTGACAACTCTATTTCCAACCTGCAAAGCTGCAGAGTGCAAAAAGGCTAATTTTTCATCCCACTCAGCCTCCGCTCACTATATCCCAGTCAAGGGTAATAAAAGACACTCTCTGCCAACCTTATGCTGTGAAAAAGAGGAGAGAGGCTTATCCTATGACAATCAAGAGCCTGTTCATATTGCACAGTCTCAAGTAATCTACTCAAATTAGAGGTTTTTGGGAGAAGAGAATCACCTCTTTCATTTCTCTCAGAAATCAGAGGCCTCTGATTAGCCTACCCCATAAGGCATCTAGTATTTACTGTTCAGCACTCAGGGCCACTATGTGAAGAAGTGGAAGTCCACTTACTGGACTGGAGAAGCTGTATAATTAAGCAGAAACAGTGCTAAACTGTTCATCTCCTTGGCTTATTTATGAGTCCACCTGCTCCTGCTTTTGTTAGCACAAAAGTAACTCCACTTCAAAGCACCGCAACAATCTTGTGATGTGACCGAGTAGCAGCAGGTTACCAGTACAAAGCTGTCCCACTGACACAGAACATCTAAATAGGAAGAAATCCCTGCTGACTCAGGCCTGACAGCTTCATTTCCTGGATTATTTTCATTCTGCTGCTCTTGCCCTCCTCCCCACAGATCCCCCCCACCTCCGGCCTAGGCAGCTGCTCCATCGCTACATCTCACCCACTCTAACAAAAGATACAAATGTTTTGCATGTCCTCCAGATGTTCACATAGCACAAACTTATAGAGGCATTGCTCACTATTACACAGAGATGTTGGAAGGTAACTAAGCAGATGGGTCATCCACAGAGACATGGAAGAGTCAGAACTCAAGGGCAACATACATGCACGAAAGACTGAACAGGCTGAAAATGAAACAGATCCAAAACATCACTCTCCAGCTCCAGCATAATTAAATTCTTGGCCTGATCTATTTTATTGTTCCCACAGAACAAGAGAAAATTATGTTTCTAAATTTGCCACCAGTATGGCAATCCCATTCATTTCAGCAGCATTTGCAGGTGTATTTAAAGCTGGGGAGCCACAGTAAGGTCTGCAGACTGGAGACCCCCACAATAACCCCCATCAGCACAGGATGAGGCTTTTTTCAGGTCTAAAACATTCTGTCCCAGCCACAATGACAGCTCATCATCACGAGGAATTCCCCTTCAACATCTGAGCTTTGTTTCAGTGCCATTCATCACTCTGCTGTGTATATTGACAATAGCATTTGCTCCATCCTGATCCCCTATTCAACCAAACTCCATTTCAATTAAAACCTTTCAACTTACCCGAGGCTCCACTGATTTTGAAGTGTTTAACAAACTATACCATACCCTAAGTGAGTATCCTTTTAAAATAAAGCAAGTCCCCCACTGCCTTTTATGGGTTGATTTCATCAATTAAGTACCATTAAGGTTTTCCCCTATAAAGTATTCCATTTAATAAGAGTGCTCCCCCTTTTTTCAACACCTTGAGTTTAATGAGATTATTAAAATGAAAAAAGTCAGTGTTAATAATTTGGAAACTGCTCTATGGCACTTAAGTCTGAATCTGCCACAGCATCACTAGTCTAAGTACATGCTGGGGAAATGCCAATGAGCTGCTACAGAGCCAAAAAAAAAGGTCACGGAGCATTTTATTTTGCAGTTACTACATAAACAGAGGTTATTTTTAAATTGCTCATCAAGATGCAATGGCTCTCAAAAACAATGCCTTAAGTATTTCCAAATCCTTACAGGAGCCATCCCCCTCTTACAACAAACACATCTCAAAATACTTCACAAAGGAGGCCTCTGTCAGTGCCCTCCCTTTACAGACAGAAAACCCCACTGCATCACGGAGATCACTTGCTCAAGGCCACCCAAACACACCAGTGCCAGAGCAGAGTACAGAGCCCAGATTTCCTAGCTACAAATCAGCTCCTCAGCTGGCTCTGGTAGCAAGTCTTAAGCACTTACTGGTGTGCACTAAAAACATGTGCTTTGCCTTTAAAAGAGAATGGATTTTACAGACAAAATACCTGGGTGGGGAAGAAATGGAGAAGCTACTCACAAAAGTTCACTTTTGTTGCATAGGTATCTTTCTTCTCCTTGCTCCAATTTCCCATACAGCCTTTTTCATTTGTTAAACCCCCATCACCCCAAAAAACCAAAAAAGCAAAACCCAAAGCAGGACAGGAGTATTTCAACCCTTTGAGGAAGTTACAGGCTTCTATTACCACAGATTCTAGCAAAAACTATCATAGGTTTCATGTTTTTTATGTATTGTTGAATCTACCATCAGAACACATCACAGTGCTGTAAACATTAGGACTTTGCTTGTGTATCTTACCACAATCAATATTAGCAAGAAAAGCCTCTAAACCCATGCAATGTTTTAAAAAGAGCTTCAATACTGTGACATGTTTTAAAAAAGCCTCACATATGTGAAGTCAGACAAACACACTTTACAGATGGATACAAGTGTCTGAAAACAGGTGTCCTGGGGCATGTGAAGACTGGCTTCTGAAGCCTGCAAAAAGCTCGACTGTACCTGTCAACAGAAGCCTGTACTGGGGAATCCTCTGAACTGGCTTGAGCAGATAGTGCTTGAGGGCCAGACTAGCACAGCGGGGGCTCATCTGAAAGAAACACCCAAAATAAATAACAATTCCACAGCAGTCAAAGGTTCCAGCAAAAGAAAACATGCCTCAAACAACTACTGATTATACTGGATAAGCTTTTTATCTTTGAAAAGTGATACTGCCACAGTGTTAAGCACCACACTACAGAGCAAGCATTTCCATGTGGAAGACTGCATGTGGAATTACCCATGCATGAAAGACACTAGGAAGCACTCATATTCTGTAGATTCAAAACAGGTGCTTTGACCTAGGAGGAAGAGAGGTGAAGCTTCCCAAAAACAAAGGAAACAGGATAGCAAGGGCAACATGCTCCTTTGTGATCGCTGTCAGTGTTCATTAGGCAAAAAGGCAGAGAAGACCGGAGTACTCACTGCAGGAGTTTTAATTAATCCACACCTCTAAAGACAACACAGAATTAAAAGATCCATGCTTCAAAAATGCTAATTATCTTGAGTTTGCATTCAAAAAAATCTGAATCTGCAACATTGCAGAATTCAAAAGGCCTCTTGTCTTCTTCCTGTCTTAAGCCTAGACTGCAGAAAAAAGCCCCATCACCAAAATACAAACAAATTAAGGACAGTTTCTAAAGCCCAGTGAAAGATCACAACTGCTAAAAAGGCACAAAACAGGTTATACTTTGAAAAAGAATACAATACCTCGAAGTCTTTGACTACTGATGCAAATCCTGCATTCTTCTTACACTGTTCATCTAATAATGCAACATTTTTATCAAATTCTTTGATGTAAGTTGAATACATCTTTAGGTAGGGACCCTTTTTAACAAATATGTCAGCAATTCTTTGATGCTCAAGCCTAGAAACGAACAACAAAAAAAAGATGCAATTAGAGCTAAAAATAGCATACATCTTAACCCTACAGCAAGACATCTCTCTTTTTCAGAGTAAGATGTGCTAGTTTATGCTCTGAACAAAAAGCTTACAGCAGATAAGTTCCCATCTCAGTTGCTATTCTGAAACACCTTACAAGGCACACATCAACACACTAGTGTTAGATGACAACCACTTAACATACAGTCTTTTAAAAAGGGTCTTGTACTGTTTGAACACTTTAGTTCAAGGTGAGCAAAGTCCTTACCCATTGCAGTGCCTGTGTCAGTGGGTTTTGTACAGCTCCACCCACCAGTGGTAATTGAGAATGATCTTCAAAGGGATTGTGGCTGTCAATCAGCGCTGTGCCTGATAAGTACATCTAAACTACCTCTAAAATGCAAACCAGTCCTTGAACAGCCTCCTTTTTCCCTAATGAAATCAGTGCACTTATCATGCTCATGCAGGGGCCAGAAATTTCAATTCAAAATGAAATTTCAAATAAAAACTGTGATTGCTACAAAAATGTATTGGCATGCCTTCTGGACCTTTTGGGATGCATCTAATGGCAGAAAAGCACACCTAAATAAAAAATAATCTCCTATACTTTCAAAGTACATTCTGACATTTAGGAAGGTACACGAAACACAAACAAGAGTCAAACCATGATCACAGTCACATAAAGCCCCCAGATAAATTTCAACATCAAAGGAGTGGAATCCCTTTATTGATAGTCACCAGTGAGATAATCGCTCCTCCAATTCCCTCAGGAGGTCCCGATTGAGTTCATAGAGCTGAGGTAGGTAGTAGAGGATCTGGTTCAGGATTCTGTCCTCAATCACTGGCTTCCCAAGCTGCCTGGAGGCATGAGCCACAGCATCCCTGAAATCCTGTGGAGTACAAAGAGCACAGAAACCCCCGTTGCCATGAGTGAACAGCCTTCAAAGCACCAACACTGAGTGTGCAAAGGAGTTCTCATCACAGACATTCCAGGCACTGCTCCCTATTACCCAAGGCAAGGCAGGTACCATCTGGGTTGTTTTTCTGCAGTTTCCATTTACTCCCCTGGGACTGCCTTAATCCTTTTGGTTTGACACTGGAACTTTACTTTCTTGGTCCTGTATGCATAATATAGAAGTTGTTCATTATTTTTACAACAAGCCCTTAAGAAATGTGTTAGAATTACTTATGATGACACTAAGGTGGGCTAAACAAGGCTTGCATCTGCAAGGTTACTGTCAGCCTAGAGTGTCTTCTGTCAAATAGCTAAGTCAAAAAGTAAAACTTTCATATCAACTAATACAATCATAGTATCTTAAAAACCATCCTAGTGTTCATAACTCATCTGCAAATGCCATTTTGGAGGGCAAAAAACTAGGGTAAAAAAAATTACTATATGTAGCAGCTCTTCTATATACAGGGAAATTAACATCTAACAAAAAGATACCGTGACAACATGGGAATCACAAGATTTCAAATGTTGGCAATGATCAAAGCCAACACTGACTGGTACCTTTGAGACATTTACAAGGGAGGAGGAGCACCCTACTTACTCTTGAAGGATCTTACAGCATTTTTATGCAATAACCAGCTCCCAACAGGACACAGCTGAGGCTCATTGGTCCTCATTAAACTATTCAAAATTAAAATCTTACCCCACACAAATCAGCATTGCCAAGATTGAAACTTAGTATCCATTATTCAGGGTATATTTCCTATTGACAAGCAAATCTTTCAAAAAGTTCAGCAATCTAGCATTTTACTTGAAAAACGACACTGTTTTAACTGACAAAAAATAAAATATAAATTACATAGTGTTACATATTACTGTGTCTCACTTAAATTTGGGCAAAAAGAGAATTAAACAGCTTTTTTGGAGTTTGTGATTAGAGAAACCTAATATCACATGCATGATATGCAGGTATCTTGAAAAAAGTAACCAACAAAATATTCTAAACACTGTAGTTAGTTATATTTTAAATGTGCATGGGGTCCATGGCTGTCTTTGGAAACCTGTAGGGTCCTCAGGTTGAGGAAAAAAATAAATTAATCCCCCTTTCCCCCCTCCCTAGGTCTACCACTACAACTCTTATTAGCTATCCCATCAGTCCAGCATCTGGCACTATTTAGGGTCTCTCAAACCGAAGCCTCAACTTTCCCCTGCTCTCCCTGCTCATTACGTCAGCTCTGGCAACGTGAGCTCCAGACACGCTTTCTTGCTTTCTGACCCTATGGGTCACAAAGGCTGTAACTGGGCACTTCTGACAAGAAACTGAAACGAGATACAGGGCACTGCCTGTAACTGGGGAAGGCTGAGAACTAAATGCAAGGGAGTTAAAAAACAGATGGCGTTATTCATATGGAAATGTTCTGGTCTACATCCTCTGTGCAGACTAGTGACACATAGGTTAACTACCAGCTGCATCTTATAGGTTTTTCTGACCCTGGGGCATTGCTTAACACTGAAATGATACATAGAATTACAATGGCAAAAGCTCAAATGAGGCATTCTGGAGAGCTTCATGCAAAATGCATCATCATATTATGATAATATTCTTCCCCCACCCCCAATTGTATGCACACACAATGTACTGTATGTATTTTGCCATAGGATGAGACAAGAATTTGGTTTGAATGTCATAAGGCAACTTGCATTTTTTTGATGAAAAGCAAAGCAGCTTTGTCTGTACTGTAATCAACAACCCAGGCTTTTCCCTGACCAAACAACAAAAGGAGAGCAGGGAGCCAGGTTTAGGCACCACTAGATAACACAGGAACGTCAGCTGTAGTTAAGAGCATTTATTTAACTTCCAGATACAGCATTCAAAGAGTCTGCAGGGCGTTTTCCAAATACAGATGGGGTTTTTCAACTAGCTTGACCCAAAGTCCATCAGCTTCATTATGTTTTATAGATTATGCCATGAAAGGCTCTGTCATTGAAACAGCCAACCAAAACTTACTTCATCACCCCCTATATCCCTTTCCACAACTGAGTAAACTGAGGATGTGCTGCAGAGAGGAAATACAGGGAAAAAAAGACAATGTGAACCTTTCAAATTTCGAAAGCCTGCGAAACAACAACAGATAAATTTCAATGCTCTTTTTTAATATTTTTTAAAATTATCTTCATTACTGACTATGCATTTGTCACTGTAATCATATTAAGATTTATTTTTAACCTGGCAGTGGGTGTGAAGTAACTGTCATGCCAAGTTCATCTTGAGATAAACTCAAGAGCTGAATGCAGAGAGCACATGCCTGGGGATCGGGGGTGGGAAAAGAAAAACAAATGTAACAAGGCCGGAATTACCAGTGTTTACACTTGAAGGTACTGGCCTTCTGAGAAAGTAATTTCATATCCAAAAGGACAAAACATAGATCAGGTCTGTTTTAATTACGAGATATAAAAATAGCGAATTTACAAACTAAACCCTGAAATTTCACCCCAAGGGGTGGAAAAGTATTCAGATGACAACTTTTAGTGCAAATAGGTGAATGACTTAGAAATTAGAAACTGCAGTAAAAGTAATTTAAAGTACCAGCACCTAGCTCCCTCTAAATTGAAATCAGTTCACTGCTAAATAAAAGCAGAATTGCTCTTGCAAATAATATATAAGAATATATAAGAATATATAGTATTATATTAATAATATAAGCAGAATTGCTCTTGCAAATAATATATAAGAATATATAATAATATATATAATATATATTATACATTGCTCTGATATCTGTACATGCCTGCATGACGTGATTTATATTACAAACATATTTAGCACATTGTCCTATATAAAACTGCTGAAGAGCACTGCTTTCATCAGCCTGTTCAAAGGCAACCACCTAGGTTGTCCTAGAAATTATTCTGTTTGAAGCAATGCAGCAATCCATTACAAGTGAATGTTAAAGACAGATTTTCTAATTAAAAATGTATCTTTCAAACACTGAAATCTTACTCATCAAAAAAAAAAACCTAAAAAAGAAAAAGCAAATCCAAAAACCAACTTGCCACACTTTGGAATTAATGTGCTTATTTCACTGAAAAACATTTGCAACTCTAGACATGGTTCATATGCTGCATGACAAAACCCAAAATATTATGCTAGTTATAATGCATCACCCCAGCTTTTTACCAGGATTTATTTTTCCTTTCAGAAGTGGGGAGGCTATTGTACATTTTCTGAAATGCTTGTTTACAGTATCTAGGTTTACATTATATTCTGGTCCAATAATAATCTTCTGATATCACTTTTTACTGATTAGGTAAAGGTAATTGTTTTCACACAGCTCCTTCAAGAGAACAGCACACATTGCCATCCTTGAAAAGAACCTCCTTTCCAAACAGTTTTAGTCTATGCTAGGCTAAGACAGCCTCCCACTGGGTACTTATCCACATGAAAATCTAGTTTAGGCATATTAAAGGCTTCTGAGCACATACTGTTGCTGAGCTGTTGCCTGATAAAACACTTCCAACTTGAAAATGTGTAGGAAATTCTATTTATCGTGTTAGTATACACTCCCCTTATAGCTGTGGAGTTTTTAAACAATATTTGAGGAGGTTACCATCATCACTGCTTTTATTTCCTCACACCACTCCTTCAATCCAACTTCCTTAAACAACAAAAAGGCTGAGATATCTGATAATTCTGATCCTGTTCTGAATCACCTCCAATCAGCCCAGGCACTTCCCCTCTGCAAAGGCCCTGACTCACAATCCCTCAGTTCTTCCCATCAGAGGATTCCCAGCTTGCAGTGATCTGCCCGTGTCAGTCTAAGGAGCAAAGGACAATTTCAGTTGTAAATCAAAAGAGGTACTGAGCAGACCAAAACCTTGCTCAGCTGCTGACTGGGTCAAGTGCACCTTCAGGTACCTAACAGTTGAATGAAGATAATTTCAAATGGGTGAAATTAAAATTTCTTGCCAATTTAATAGGAAGAGAAAGCATTACATAATCTAAACATAGTCACAGATTCTATTCCTCACGCTTCAACCAATAATCATCTTAGATCTGTTCTCCCAGAACACACCATCAGCAAAAAAAAAAAAAAACAAACCACCAAAAAACACTGAAGAACAACTCCTCCAGCTAAATACACCTGCAGATAGCTCAAAGATCAATTTAATTTAAGGAAAAAAAGCATGTTTGCACTTGGGTGCTTTTCAAGGAATACACACACATACAGACATCCTATGGCGAAGGAGGAGGGAAGAGGAGGAAGTTTCACAACAGCCAGGCTGCTAGATGTGACAAACTGTAAACATGACTGCTTAGCAGCTACAGAAGATTTGACAAATAGATTATTTAAAATATAAATAGGCACTCCTAGCTAGAGTCAGACTATTAGCCATAAACTGCTAAGTTAAACTACAGCAACTATAGTTAATCAAGACTATGACTCAGTGTGGATCATATTTTTCACATATGCCATTACTTTTGGAAAGCTGCCACACAATTCCACACCTTTTGTCTCAGGTAATAAAATAATTTATAAGCCCTTAACAAAACAATGTATTTGATTTTTTTACAATAAACAATGATTTGACTGTGGCATATTCCCAGAATGCTATTTCAGGCAATAGGCTGGGTAGTAGAACGATACTTCCTTCTAAACTAAAACTATTTTATTAGTCTTCTTAGTAAGAGGACCACAGTTCCAACTCATTGTCAAGTGTCTTAGCAGTTCTAAAGTACTTCAGAGACCAAACATTTATCAACATATTCACCTCAGACAGGTCAAATATTGAAATTTTGCAGATGGAGGAAAAAGAGTTGGATGTCGAGAGAATTTTTCATGGTCAAACAGTACATCAGTTGTAAGCCAGGACCCAAAGTCAGAACTTTGCTCAAAGGCCATAGCTATTTTATTTTCCATTACATTCTTCTTCCAAATCTACCATGAATTATTTTTCATAATGCTTGGCTACAACAGACATCAGTTTATATCTATCTATCTGTCTGTCTACCTATCTATCTATAGATATATAAAACTATATGTCATTTTTATATACAGAATTTTGCTATTTTCTTCTGAAAAATGGTAATATTAAACCAGAATTTCTCACTCTCGTGTCTCTGGAAGAACACACAATAGAAAACTATGCCTCACCTCTTATCTGCCTTCTGCAATAAGAGGTTGATCTTGTGGCTGCAGAAATACTAAGAGGTGCCTGCTGACAAGCTCCTACTTACTTGGGCTCAGAGTCCAAATATGGACAGAACAGGGGTCTAAGTCAGAAGCACAGATTTAAAGGCTCAGGCAAAAGCCCACAGGCTTTTACTCCTGTAAGGAGTAATCTCAAAAAACCAAGTTGCTCTGCTGGACCAGAAGCCTTGCTGCTTATACCAAAGCAGCAGGGAGGAAACAGGATCAAAAAGAGTGGAAAGAAGAAAAAGAGTGGAGGGTTTGGCAAAAGAACAAAATTCAGAATAAAAATGTTCCCAAAATTTACAACAAACAGCCAGACAGCTTACCCTCACAGTGCCAGGAAGCTGCTGAGGAGGTCCTCTCACTCATGCAGAGCAAACCATCTCCAAAGAATCCCACAACAAAGAAGTACCAAGGGCACCAATCCTGCCTTACTTCTTTTTCCAGGAACACTGGGTGTTTTTCAGGCACAGGGCAACTCAGAGAGAAGTGATAAGCTTGTTTCTCTTATGTCACTTGTGTTTTACACCCAGCTCACTGTTTCTTTTTTTCTGCAGGCATCTTAGGAAAAAATAGCACTTCTCCCATATTGTCAACCCTGGTTCACTCTCAGGAGGCAATGCATGAACCATCTCAAAAATGTGCATACAGAAGAGCTAGTTTGATTTAAGCTCCTTTGTTTCCAGAAGTTTCTAAAAGCATTTTACTGGAATCTCACCCTAAAAGAGCACTAACACAGCAACAGAAATACAGAGAACTCAAGATTACATCTAATGTGTGATTACATCCTCAAGCAACCCCATTTGCTGAGTCTGTTTGATACTGTGTGCAAAGCCAGGTGAGTCCCTTATCTCTGTTATGACCGGCTTGGTTAGTATTTACAGAAGTATCACCAAGTGTTTATAATTTTGCAGTGTGTCTTCAAGAGAAGCAGTCAGATGTATTTGTAGTTTTCCACAGGGTCCACATAAGCTGGCACTCTGGTATCTTGGAAGAGTTGCTCCACCTAACTTGACTTTGTCAACATAAAAGAAAAAAATGCTAAAAAATTTCAGTGGTACTTGTAACTTGTTTGCAGTCACATTCCTACCTCCTCAACTGCTTTAGATTCCACTTCAAAGGCTCTAAGATGAAGCAAATTAAAAAGCTTTTCCTTACATCAACAGTCCTCTTCCTTGGTGCCATGTGATGCTTTTAGCTGACATTGGTAAAATATACTGAAGAGAGTATTTTTCATTTTAGATCATTGCTAATGGAATTAGTCACTAAATTTCAAGTGGAAAACCACTAATAGATGGCTCAGAAGGTGCAATGGAGCATCCCTCAATAAGCCAAATCTTTACTATGGGTAAAAGAGCCCACCCAGTCTGGGGAGAGTCTAATTCAGAAATTTGTCAGAGGTTGCTTGACTGCCTGTTAGCAAGCCAAAGTGGTCAGTGCACATGAAATCAAAAAGATAATTTTATCAACATTAAAATATTATCCGTAAGAAATGTATTATTAAATTAACTGATTTAATAATGTGTGTGAAAAACAAACAAATTCTCAGGCATACCACTCTGTGGAAACAAAAATTGGGTGTCTACAACCTTTCTCAGCTATGGCAGTTCTTATTTAATGAAGAATGCACACACACAAAGCCTCAAAACCAGTACCTTCTTTGACAAGGACACCCACCAAGGTTCCTGCTGCAGGCCAACTGACAAGTTAAGGACAAAGTATTTTCTAAACTCCTAACCTAGCATCCTCCCTGTCAGACCAGGCTGAATACATGCTGATTGCCACTGCTAGCCAACAAAAACATTTCTAATAGTTTTTATTTGGCAGCTAGAAACTAGTAGACTGTCATGAATAGAGTTGCAAATTATCCATTAAAGGAAAAGCAAAATACATCCTACACCACTGCACGTCTACACTGTGGGGACAGCTTTAAGTTTATCCCAGAAACTTCCTAAGCTCTCTACTCTTCCCTTTTTTCACGTTGTTCTTCTGCTTGCCTACATCCTCCTTACCAACAGGCTTTCTTCCAGTACTGCACACATTACCTAAGAATCTGGTACACTGAAAAGCAAAGATACCTTTAACAAATAAGTTAAATGTCTGAAAAATATGATAATTTAAAATTACACAGCTTAAACTTGCCTAGGACAACTCTCTTTCTTTTGTCAGTATTTAAGATTAAGTTCAGTATTAGAAACCATGTTGAATATAAATTATATATTGGATTCAACTGACTGAGCCAGCTCATAAAAACCAAGCTTGAACAGAATCAGAAAGACAGTTACTAGGAGGAAAGCTAAGAGGAATCAGCAAAAGATGTGGTGAGTTTTTTGTTCCTGAAAAAAAAAATCTCTGTATTACAGGACTGTATACAACCATCTATAAGAGCCTTTGTTCCATAGAACATGCTTCTCAAGGGACTGAGACAGACCAATGCATCTGTTTGCAATATAACCACTTCTATTGCCCAAGGAAAAAAAAAACCACTATGTTTGCACTTAATAGAATGACAAAATGGTACAAACGCATATAATTTCATACTTGACAGAAAACACACAAAATAAAGATAGAGAAAGAGAATTCTTCATTAATTTCCTATTACCACCTTCAGCACAGCATGTTTTACAGATGACTGATCTGCACAAACACAGATGAAATACTTAACCCTGGCTGTGTACAGCACATTGCAGGTACTACAATCACAGGTGTTATCAGAAAGCAAATGTCTGTCAAGGAACTGCAGCCTCACAAAAATACACTACCATGGTGATGGATGCACCATTAGAGCTACTAGCTACTAATTGGATTACTTCAAGACTGTACCATTTTAATGTACCAGTTCTAAAATAAATTGTTCCTGCCCCCCTCCACCATTTAAGGAGTTATTCTAACCAAAATCTTTATTTTTGTTGCTATGTACTTATTTATAAGCCAGTACAAGCTGGCTTATAAATATGATTCTGATTAACATAAATTGATATATATTAAATTTTCAGTATTCAATACCCACACTCAGCTGGAAACTGCATAAATTATTAAGGAGATCCAGAAGGAACCACCAAAATATTCATCCATTATGTAAAATATGAAACATTGAAGTACAGCTTAATTAGATTAATTTTTATATTTTGAATATGTAGATGCAGCAGAAAAAAGGCACAGTCACTACCATAAAGCCTAAACATAAAACTTTAATAGATTAAATACATAGAAAAGGAAACTGCTTTTTTTTTTTGCGTACTTACAATGTGTAAGAGCTTTAGCACATCCACAAACCTATCAGAAAAGCAAGAAAAAGCAAACAGTTACATTTTAATTGCCCAATTAAAATAAATTGAATAGTTATTAAGAACAGCATTGACACTTACACCTTCTCTGAGCTCATGATCTCCTTGGCAATGTGGTAAACCTTTGTTTTCTTTCCAGCTGCCTTACCCTGCAAATAAAATTACATGTTACACTGTGCACCTACTAAAACTGTCATAAAGATCATTTCCAGCTATTAGTTCCTTAAATTCAATGTAATTATTTGATAGTTACTTCTAAGAAAAATATTTCATACTGCTTTGAAATCTCTTGGCTTTGACACCTGTTTTTTCAGGATCTGTGAGAAAATTAATTTAGCTTGTATCTGGAAACAACAATATTAGCTAGGAGCAAACTTTCAGCCGTTTCTTTTAATTATTACAGGAAGCACTGAAGCCCATAATGAATGAAGTTCTAGCAAACAACAATTACTGGTTTAGCAAAAGTACTAAAGTACAGGTAGTATTTCTATCTTACTTGATTCTTTGCATCTGATTAATACAGCAACAGTAATATTTGCAGTGAACTCAAATGTGTTTCAGGAACATCTTAAAAGACATACACGTTTTCTTTAGTGAAAACAAGACGACAGGAGAAAAAAAAAAAACAGAAAAAATTCACATTGAAGAGAATAGCCAGTTTCTGACAATCTACTAATGGAGCTGCTGGAATACAGAGCAACTATACTCCAAAGATGCAGATATATGAGCCTTGTCATTTGCCTGAAACATTGTGGAGATGATTTTGGGTCTCACATGCACATTTGGCTTCCAAAAAACCAGTGGCCCTGTCCAACCTCAGACAGAGGTAACAGGTATAACAAAGCACATGGGGCAGGCACCAGGATGCAAATGTGTTTGCTACACAGTGTAACTCCCATGTAGGATCTCCCTCAGATGGAACACCTTTCTCCAAACAGCTCTCATGGTTTGCCATATGCTTCTCTGCTGCCAGCTGTCAGCACGTCTACTGCACATTCAGGCTTTCATTTTAATGGGCTGCAAAGAAAGAGAGGATGAGGAGCCCTAAAATATCACAGCATATACAATGCAAGTGAGATGGAAGTCCTGGGAAGGCTGTATTGAGTGTGGTAGTACTATATGGGCACTGAACTGTTTATTTAGAATATCAGGTATCAGTGGCATTTTATCCACAAAACTTTGATTCATAAGCACTAATGTTACAAGATTTCTCTGAAGATTTAGTTCTTCTTGAAATCTAGAAGTTAGTCTCAAGTGCTGGAAAACAAACCATGGAAGAGATAGTACTCATAGGTTGGTTTTAATGATATTGTTGCACTCAAAATAATAAACAAAATCTAACCTTAATTTTTTCATTGGAATTTAAGTAACACCATGCCTAATTACTGAATTAAAATTGATTTCTAAATTAAATAGTTTTGTGTAACACCAGATATGTCCAAAATACATTATTTATTTTATATACTATAGACATCTGCACACAGATCTGGAATTTTCTTATGAAATGAAACTCATTTCCAAAGAACACTGAGATCTATCCAGTGTGAGTCAATCACACTCAGGCGAGATTGTAACACCTATTCTCAGGCCACGGTGCCTATTTAGAAAGCACAGCTGACACACTCCCCGCAAGACTGAATTCACAAGTAAGTCAATTATGCAAAGCAAGGTATCTGCCATCACTGTAAATGTGTCAGTTGCAAATGAGATGAAAATTAATATTTTGAGAACAAGATGCTACCGCTAAACAATTACAAAATGAAGTATCACAACCCCATTTGAAAGACTTTTCTCATACCAGCTGGTGCTGAAAGGGCCACTTTGCATTTGCTCAGACAAAGATACTCTGGCTCTGAGAGTCTCTAATGGGGGAACCAGAGGGATACAAATAAGGCTCTCTGACACAACACTGGAAAGAAGCCCTGTAAGTCCCCTAACAGATATAAAGCATCAAAACAGCCAGATGCTTGCAGTAAGGAAAAGTGAAACAAGCCCAGCTGATGGGGGATGCAGAGACTGCTTCATTCTCCTCGGCAGCTGCTCTTGCTGTGAGAAGGTGGTTGTTAATTCCCAGCTGCCGGCTGCACGTGCCGCAGGCAGCTGAAGCAAGCGGCGGCAGATGCCTCACAGCAAGTGCTGAATTACTCCATAAAACCTGCCTGAGAACCCTCCTAATGGGGACACTTTCCCGTAAAACTCCCTTGTGAAAGGCTGAGGGCATTTGTAGAGGCATGCAAGGTAAGTTAGCTTCTACACAGGTAAAATCTTGTTTGGTTTCACAGGAACAAGCTTTTCCCTGGACTCTCCCAATTTAGTCCTCTCATTTGGTTTAATAACATTCAGGCCCAACATGCCAAGTCTTCTCTTCCAGCACTAGAAAGTTTCATTGGGTTATTCTGTTTGTCTTGTTGGGGCTTTGTTTTTGTTTTGGTTTGGTTTTTAATTATTTTTAAAGAAAGGAAGCAGATATAACTACTATCAAAGGAAACAGCTGCCGGGACTGGTGCTGAGGAGAGGGACTGGTCTACAGGCAGACTGGTTTCAGGGCGTCCAGGGCTGAGAAGTAACAACATGGGTACCCCCAAAAGGAGGGACAGGACCCTCATAACTTCATTTCATTCAGAGTAGTTAGCACTGTATTCCTGCTCCTCATTTGAAGAAGAAATAAAATTAAAATAAGGAAAATCATTCCAAGCTGACACTCACAGAAGGTAATAGAAGGTCAGACCTCAACCTCAACAGGTGGTTTACATTTGAAAATATCCCAACACATTACAACTAATGAAATACTGCAAGAGTGAGAAATGACTTCAGAAGACAAAGATAAAAAAATACCTGTTTATCTTCTTGAGGATCAGTCTCCCCTTTACTGGAATCAGAATTTGTGTCATCATCTTCATCAGAACTGTTCATGATATCTTCCTCATCTGACTGAAGATCTCCCATTACCACATCGGGATGATCATGGTGTTCTTCTAAGGACCTAGTATTAAAATATATACATCAACTTCAATTATGTAAAGAGCTTTCTGTTTCACCCCACGATAAATTATCTACTTGGTGTCAGACACCCTGAAAACAGTAGAGGGTAGTCTGAAGATTATAGCAGTTGGAGGCTTTTCCACAGTGGACTTGCAACTCTGCAACATTTTATATACGCTAGTATTGATACAGTGCTCATTGATAGCAAGCAAAAGCCACAGTACCTTTGGAGTATTTATACTATTCATGTCCAGCAGAGTTCGCCTAACAACAAAGTCTGATAAATCTATTCCCTTATTGCTATGTCCATGTACAGAGCAACATTTGTACTGTGTGCAGGATAAAAAAAGGTCATAGCCATTTTGCTATCCTCTGTCTCCCAGCAGCAGGTCTTGTTCCAGATATGGCACTCACACTGGAGCTTTCTTTGTGAAATTCTTGATGCACGTATACATACAGGCCTGTTTCTCAATGTATATGCTAAACAACTGCTCCAGTGACAGCAATATCATAACCATTCTGTCCAACAACTCTTCTTAAAAGCAGGAATACAGAATCTTTTGCAATTAAGAACACTCATCCCCCCAAAACAGACGCCTTTTGGAGAGCTGTCAAAGCTGTACAAAAATCTTGTTCTGCTGCTGTACAATCATTGCAGAGGTCTCTTTTTATTAGCTTCAGCCATTTTTGCAATACAGGAACTGCATGAGACAGGCACACAATCTCCTTCCTCTAACTAGCCTTGACAATTCAGTAGAGATTTAAGAAATGCAATTCTAGAAGAAAATAAAAAAGGTGGTAGGGAAAGATAGATAGGAAAACAGACTAGCGGAAACAGCCTTAAGTTTTTGGAAGGTTACATGGAAACACACCAAATCTCTGGGTTCCTACTTTTAATCCTCAAAAATATCTAATAATTTCCTATTACATTAAAGCTATCTAAAAATCACATAATCTGTGTTCAAGGTCTGCAAAAAGATGCTGGGATGCCACAGATTTATTGACATGAGCCCAAACTGATTAGCTATCCTGCAAAACAAAAATCAAATCCAGGAAACCTTGTCCACGAGCTGCTGCAGCCAGCAGAGATCTCACTGGGCTGACCAACACCTAATTTTATACAGCCAATGACTGCCAGGGCTACACACTTCTCCTTACACCTGGCCCTCTGCCTCCTGAGGCAAGGTATAGTTAGGACTGGTTTTTTTCCTTGCTTTGAATCAGAGGAAAGCAGGGATGGAGGGTAACTATTCAGACTCTCCACCTCTATCTGTGATAGCTACCAGAAGGAAAATCTGTCACCATGGATCCCACAGAAGGTGTCTGCTAGCAATCTGAAAAGCAGAAGTATTCCTCAGGGCTTGGGCTCAGTATTGGGACTGGCACGGTTAAACAGGTTTGTCAGCAATGTGGACAGAGGGACTGGGGGCTCCCTCAGCAAGAGTGCCCAGCAGCTCAAGGAAGGGGATTCTGCTACAGCAAAGTGTTTATTACACAGTGCTCAAGATAGAGTTAAAAACAAACAAACCAACACAAAAATGCTGATCACAAATAGAAATGTATTTGGAGATAAAGAATAGCTGGCCTGTGGACAGACCTTGGTCAGCCATGAAGACACAGAGAAGATTAAAATAACTTGGTTCTATTATGACAACACAGGAAGGACTTGGGAAACTCCCAAGCAGTTACTGTCTCCCTTAACCAAACGGGGCGGGGGAAGGAAGGAGACTGTAAGGTCATCACTGAGTTCAACGAGGTCCTGAGCCAAGACTGCAGCACCCTGGGTGCAGAGAAACACCCTTTATTTGGGTTTGGAAATTATCAGCTGCATGCAGGAAAATGGCAGCCAGCAGAGAGATGGGTGCTGATGACAACAGCATATGGTGTATGCCAGGGACAGCTCCCATAGCACCTCCAGAAGTTTCAGGAAGACAAAAAAAGCAGCTTTTTATTGGAGCTTTCCCTGGAATCATGCTATCAGGAAACTAAGATTTCTGCAGTTATTTATTGACTTCAGCAATTCAGAAAACTCCTTGTCTAGTTTATACGTCACAGTCAGCTGAGAATATTTATTTTAGTAGATGCCATCTCATATGCTTTTATTATGACAAACACAAACATCTTTATTACATCAGTAGCATGACATAAGGTCGATATATGCCCCAGCTTTAGTCAAAACCTGCAACAGAAATTACTGCTGCTCCTTCCCTTACTAAATTACTCAGCTTTACCATGCACATCTGTCACTGAATCTATCTCTGACCAAGGGTATTTTTTCCCCTACTGCAAAATATATTAAGTGCTTTAACTCTGACCACACTGGAATATACTTTTTAGTCCATTATTCATGAATGTCTATTTTTGTTAATAGGCATTTTATTGCCCTTTTTTCTACCCTTAATATTTGTTTTAACTGCCATTTTAATTTCCTTTAACTGAGATTCCTTCCATCAAGAAAACATTGTTTTCACACCTGTGACATCACTGTTCTTTTGCCTCAGCATATTCTACTGGATGTCCACTCCCAGACTTTGTTGTCATTCTTCATTTAAACTTTTCAGAGCAGCTATGCCAAGACTCAGAAGTTTTAGAAAATCTACCCTTTTGGAAGTCAGAAACAAGAATACTTCCAGATGAAGCTGTGTTTTACTTGTACAAACCCAATCCCCTCACCACTGAAGGATGAAGAACAAACTAGCTGGCTTGCGTTGTGTGAAGCAATTTCTAAACATAAGATTAATCAGCTTATTTAATAGAAAGTTTCAGTAAAATAAATAAATAAATAAATAATTAACTAGTGATAATTAGGATGTGAAGTAAGTGTCCACAAATGACAGCCACTCGCTGTATAAATTTTTTTTCTTCCTATAAATCACAACATTTAAGCAGTAAGCTGCTTTTCTGGCCTTTGTGGTGCTTATGCCCATACTATTCATGTAAAGGAAGCTGTGACAGCTGAGAGAACCATGTATAAAATCTTACATACACTGTCTACTCCACTTGTATCCTGTATTTGCTCAGTTCAGAGCACTCTGGTTCTTCCACATGATACATCTCTTGTTGAGGGTTTTTTTTGTGGTATTTTTAATACTGTTTTCCTTCTTTTCTTTGCTTTTTAAAGAAAGAACACATTGGATGGTTAGATGATCAAGAGTCAGTTCACACTCAGCTATTTTCCAGAATCAAACAAGCCATCAGTCCAGGGATAGGATGCAATACTGGAGCCGGGGTAGATACCTTTGTGGTGATATCTCCAGTTGCGTCCTCTTCATAGAAAATGGGGACAAGAGTTACTGTGTTCATTTGTATTTATCAGCCACATGCTGAAGAACAGGCAATTACCCTCAGACATTACACCTTAACCTTTCATGGTAAATGCTACAGCTTTTCTGGTGAAACAGAAAGCAGATCTGTATTTACTGATTACTCTTGTCTGTACTTTTACCTCTGAAGTCATCTATAACGTAAGTGTTTGTATGCTTCTCTTAAAGTTATCTCTGGATAAAGTGAAATCCCTTGCACTTTAACTGCCTTTGGAAATAGTAGTAAATCTTTAAATAAACAGAGTATTTTCTAGCACATATTAATGCCCCTTTTCCAAAATACCACAAGCATGCAGTAAGGCTTATTTTAAGTGGCTCTTCTGATAGGTATTTTGGGGATACTGTGAACTGTCTCTATCTTGTTCCCTCTTCATCACGATTCTTTGTCCTACCCACAGCACTACCCATAGAAACTTCTGCATTATCAGTCATGTGAAACACCAGCCCTGCCAACTCACTGTGCTGTGCACTGAGTAAGAACATCTTGCCATATCTCATGAGCAAGTAATCTAAATATAGATGTGGGGCTTTTTTATTTCACACATAAAATGAAGGAATCACTTGTTTGCCTTGGAATGAGCAGCTTATGGGATGATGCATTTATGTTGTGCTGTATTTTCCTATTGCAATAGTAAAATACTAATGAAATAAAACATGCTGCTCCTAGCAAGACATACAACAAGATAAACTGTCAAAACCTAACAATTGCCATCAGACTATTACCATGGGAATCAGAATAAAACCCACTTATTGTCTTCAAGAGATGACTAAGACTAGTTCAGACTAGTTTATTTGTCTTATAATAGAAGCTTCAGATACACCTGTGGCTTCACTTTCAGACACTGTTGATTTGGACCCTCCATAGGGCACTATGGCCTGAAGTCACAATTACCATTTCAGTCTCAGTTTCCCACTCCTTTAGAAAGCAAATAGTACTTTAAGGTTGACTGAGATCATTCAGAAAGATTCTCTGCCATGGAATGCTCCAACATTAAGTATTTTATAGTATATTGGAATGACTTCAAGTGTTAGCATCACCATAACTACTAAAAAGCAAGTTTCCACAGCTCCAAAGTATTTGCTAAAATAGATTCATCCACGCTACTGCTTTACACACGTTTCCTTGTGATCTTCATTATTTTTAGATCCTTTTCCTACTTTCAGTAAGTAATAAAAATATGTAGGAATGCTGAATGAACAGAGCCTTGCACACAACACTGCTAAACTCTTCATTTCTCATCCTTTTGTTGTTTTAAAAGGAGTCTCTGGTCTACTCCTCTTTTTCTTTCTGTCTCTTCCTCCAGTATTTTATTGCAGGTTTTTTGTGGGTGTTTATGTTTATTTATTTTAAAAGCAAGCTTTCAACATGCAGGCAAAATTACACAAACTGAAGTTCCTACTCAACTAAAAAAACATACCAGAACTTCAGAGAGCAACTTAACATGCCCTATTATAATATCTCATCTCAAGTCCTTTTCGTATCATTACAGCATTTCACCATCTTTTCACAGCTGCTTGCACCTCATTTTTCCCCAGAGAGCAAGCAACTATTATTAGTGCTTATCCATTTTCAGTTTTTAACATCACCATTCCCTGCAATCAATTTTAGTAATTAAGGCATATTCAGCTGCTAGTTTTTTAAGACCTAAAAGCACACTGGATCTCTGTGAAGGCAATA